GTGGTAGATAGAGCCATTGATTTTGTCAAAGCTCTGGTCTCATTTTGGAATGGTGAGATGAGACAGGCCAATGACACTATCATTCCTGAGTGCCTTTTACAGCCTTGCAGAACCCATTCTGCCTGCGGTATTTAGGAGAGCTGCTGTCAGTGACACATGCTGCATGATGACTTGGCGTGAAGGCAATTGAGCGCATGCTAAAGCATGTAGTTCTACCTATTGCTTGACTGTGATGGGAGCAGAAAAGATGCATTTTGCTATTTCCATTGCATCCTCAAGTAGCCACACAGCAGGATTGTTCTGCATGGCTCAGAGGCTGTTAACCTCTGCCCTGGTGATTGAGGTATTTGAATCTTTGGCGATCCAGTGTGATAAGATTGTCAAGCACTCTGAGGATAAAATATTTCCCTCCATGCTGACTTAATGCCAAATTTCAGACAGACTTGAGTGAAGTGACTGATATTGTATGTGTACCATTTTTATAGGATCAGTTTTACTTGCTGCATGCTAAGGACATGGATGAGGTGCTTGTAGTTGTAAATCGAGTGACTTCCTCCTTCAACCCCTGTCCTTTGTGGCTAATTAAAACTAGCTGGGTATGCAAGGCTTGATGGGTTCGGAGCATGGTGATTGCAGCACTGTGTAAAGAAGTGGTTCCGACCACACCTGAAAAAGCCTACTCTAGACTAAAAAGTCTTGGAAAACTGTTGTCCAGTTGCTTATTTTCAGTGAAGCCATGCAAAAAAACGTTGGCAGTACAGTTCCAAAAGCACTTGCAGGGAGCCGATTTTTCAGATCAGTACAGACCTAGCTGGGGGACCAAATATGCTTTGGTCATCCTGTTGGATGACCTGTTTTGGGCAAAGAACAGGGGGAGTGCAATCCTCTTACCATTCCTCAATCTCTTTATGATTTTTGATACCATTTCCCATTCTATCCTACTGGACTATCTGGATAAGTTGGTTGTAGGGGAGCACCAGAGCCAGCTGGTGCATTGCAGACCATCTAAGACCCACTTGTTTGTCTTTCTGTCAGTCCAAGGTATTCACAAAGCAATCCTCAGAACAATATTAATAACACGTCGATTCTTCATTGTCAAGCTTTCACTCCTCCTCTCAGCATTGCTTTTGCCTTCTCTGACATTCTCAAACCCCTTCAACATGTTAAGGTGTGCATTCAAAAGAGGACTTCCCTGTTGGTTCTCATTCATGAGAATTCATATAGGTACTAAAAGTCTGTCTGGATGCAGCAATGGGCAGGTTGGGGGACTGAATGAATTGCAAAATATAAGGTAGAAGTCCTATTGGTGAATGGTTCCTAAGCCTGGGTGTTGGACAGGTTCCCTGTTCAGGAAAGTCTGTACACCCTCTACATCTGGGAGTATTCATGGAACCATCCCTGTCACTGGATAGTAGCACCTACTCTCCAGAAAGCCCTTCCCCCAGGAATAAGACATGCCAAATTTGTTGCAGTTTAGACACATCTTGAAAACTTATTTATTCACCTCTGTTGTTATGAGCTTTAATTCATGGCCTGCTGATTATACTGTTTAATTGAGTGCTTATGTTCATTTCTATTGTAACGCTGTACATGACAGGGATAAAAATACTTTTGGGCTAATGAATGAATGAATGAATGTCCCCCAGTTTTGCAGACATGTAAGTATGAACTTGCAGCTCTGATGAGGCCATAGCGCATGCTGGGTTTATCATCACGCACACTGAATTACTTGAGTTAGCGATTTGTGATGGTTGGGCTGACCTGAGTTGTAATGCAGATATTGATCCTTCGTAATTCTCTCTCTCTGTGTTACTTGTTACTGCAATTTGACAGATCAGTGTCCTGCAAAACTACTTTTTAACTAGCAGAATGGAAGTCTCTGACAAAGATTTTAAAAGTGCGGCGATCTAAGGATACTGCTTTTGATTTATTCCCTTGTGTTCTGACCTTGATATAGCTCTCCTGAATGTGCAGTGTATGTGCATCTGCACATGTAACAGAAGAAACTCTATTAGCCCTATACCAGTGTTTTAATACCTATTTTAAACTCCCATTTGTACATCATACGATTTCAAGGGTACTTAAGTTTACCAATATGCATTAAGTTGGGTACCACACAGTTGAATTCTGTTCAAAAAACTATGCAATCTCTATAAAATCAGTAAGATTTTTAGCAGCTTTCATTTAATGGAACAGTTCAATGTTAGAATATGAATTTTCAAAAATTATTTTAATGGGAAATGGGAAAATATAACTGTGCCATTTATTTCTTAAACAAAACAACAAAGAATATAACCCTATGCATATTTAGCTGGAAAATGTCCTACAATTCCCATGTTGTCTGGAGCATACTTAGAGTTCTTACACTTTCTGTTTAAGCTCCCACAGAGTTGAATCCAAAGGCATATATTGTAATTGGAGTTATCGTTAAATTACTGCTTATGCAACTAAAGAGTTCTTTGAAACTTATGGATTATGTGTTTTGTGTTTGGATTAGGAAGTACTGTTTCAATCTCATTGCCAAAAATGATTACAGCAATAATATCAGTGCATAAAATATCGACTACAGGTGTGTGTGTGCTTGGATCATTGACATGACTGTGAGCAGTCTAGAAAGTTCTGCAACATTAAATGCTCCTTTGAACTGTCACTCACAGATCACCTACTTACTTGGAAGCCATCTCAGTGGGAACTTCACCCTAGTAAATATGGTTTGGGAAGTGCTACTATTGTAGAACTGAATATACTTCCCTGGTGGCAACTTTTTTCAGAAAGTCAGTCAGGGCTAAGCCTTCTTTGTCTGTTTTCTCTTTGAGAATCTTCTCTCCAAGTACACTTTATATGGTCTTCAGAAATCAAATGTAATGTGTCCTCCCGCCTGTTGTAACACTGATGCCGAACAAGAGGTGTTGGTCTGTGCATGTACAGCAAGAGCCCTTTGTGTTTATAAAGCATGTAGGTGAGGTAGATTAATAAACCTGAATACGCATGATAGTGGAGCAGTGGAGCAAAGTAGTTACAATTTTTAGTATGGGTCTTTTGTGGAAGTTATAACAATGAAATCTATTGTGTGCCTTTCTTATGTATAGATATGTGTGTATTTACATTCAGTATCCAAGCAGTAATATCCAGGTTTCTCGCTGATATTGAATGGAGACATTTCTAGCCCCCATAGGTCCTGAACTGGCACTTCAGTACAGTTTGATTGCCTCCTTGATTGTTTGCGAGATAACTGTAAGATTGGCAGTGACAGGGTAATTTACTGAAGATTGCAATGTCAGACTATATCCAAGGGGGCTTGCTGGCATGAAGATGTTATTCTCATGACTGACAGGCCACTGGGAGATTGGTGTGCCAATTTAAAGTTCATGGTGTCGTCAAAAGTGTTCAGCGGCTGAAGCCCGTAATCATGCAGCTTGATGAGGTCATTATAGGCATAACATATGCTCACCCCAATAACAGGCATAGCAAAATATATTCAACAGCCTGAGCAGGTAAATATAAATTTGTAGAAAGGAGTAATTTCTATCCTGTGTCTTCCCTTTGGATTCCTTAATGTAGAGATAAGATTCTCTTCAACCATAACTGCCTGAACAAAGATACTTAGCGAACTGAAACAGAGGACAATTTTAAATCTGAACCAGCAGAGAAGAAAAGAAAGAGCAGATTACTGATGGGGCGGGGGGTGTTCTAGCGTTAATAGAAAAGCTGTACCGAATTATTATCAGAACACCATTATAATCCATTGATTACAACAAGCAGGTAACAGTAAAATACAAAAGGGGTAAAGACCCCACCTTCGTGATGGAAAAGGGCCTTCAGAATGATTGGGCATCCTGTGAACAAAGAACTGACCTTGGAAGAAACAGTAAAAGAAAAGAAAGAAACTCAGAGCAGAAAAGAACTTACCTAACTTAAATATGTGAAGTGAAAACAGTAGGACTGCTACCCCTAACTGCTTCACTTTTATATCAGAGTTAGCATTATGATGGAAGGGTAGTGCTTTGATAATGGCAACTTGGAAAAAGTCTACAAAAAGTCTATAGGTCCTAAAATATCAAGCAGGTTTTTTTTTTTTTTTACATTTATTAGATCTTTAGCCTATCCCATCACAAAAGCTTGGGACCAGACAGGTAACCATTTCCAAATTACTTTCCCCTATCCTTGAACAGCCACCAAAAGGAAGCTTGCTTGCAACTTCATGAAGCACATTCCCTTCTCCCATGCAAACTCATCCAGTACTTAGGATCTTTGGGAGAAATCTTCTTTTCAAGACCACCACCTTCACATGTGTATTTGGTGGCAATGAAAAGGAAGGGCTTCTTGGTGGCTGCTTCCTGGCTGTGGAACTCCCTACCAAAGGAGTCTAGATTTGTTCCCACTAGGCTGTCCTGTAACTGGCAGGCAATGACCATTTTCCTTAAGGGGGCCTTTGACCTGTAAGTGAGTGTATTGGGTCAGGTGCCAATTTTACTGCTAGTGTGTTTTTGCTTGTTTTAATGTATTTACTGTTGTTTTTAATCAGTGATTATACTGGCATCCTTGAGTGCCATTTTTGTTAGAAAGGCAGGGTACAAATCAAGTAAACATAATATAGATAAATAAGGTGTACATTCTGGGGCTGCAGCAGGTTCCCAGGGAAAGCCTGTTCCAAAGCTGAGAGGCAGCAACTGAAATCAGTTCTACACATTACCTGGTGAACCTGCCTATATAGTGCACTTGAGAAGATGTTCCTGGGTTGCCTTAAATGCAGTGGAACAGGTGATCTACTACATCAAAGCATAATGGGCCAAGGCCATGCAAGAGATAAAGCAATGTCACTATACTTCTATAGCTATTACAGGCTAAATAGATGAATATCTGCGATACTTAGTTTTGCATTGTGAGGAAATAATGGTGTGCTACAGCCAGACAGAATGCCTGTAAATGGTGAAAGCATTGGGACTGTTCTAGACCAGGGCACTGAATGAAAATAGTCTGTGTGTTCTTCTGTCTTTCAGATGGCCTTGTTGACTGCCTTGATCCAGACTGCTGCCTCCAGTCAACTTGTCAGAACAGCCTGCTCTGCCGTGGCTCACGTGATCCTCTAGACATTATACAACAAAGTCACTCTAGTTCACCAACTGTAAAGTCATTCTATGATCGAATCAAGCTCTTAGTGGGAAAAGACAGCACTCATATAATCCCAGGGGAAAATCCCTTCAACAGCAGGTAACAGCCAAACATACAGCTTTATAAAGTACTTCTGGCAGAGGTTTTAATAATGGTTTAACATGGAATGCTGCTTTCAGTAGTGATATCATTTTCCATCTTGAGGTAAAACCTCATTCTGGGCTTTTCCCCATGATTTTTAATGCTCTGTTTAAGTCAAGATGCTGGCATCGTGTTGCAGGTCCATAGGAACAAAGGCTAGCATTGGATTTCATGCATACTGGTAGGGTGGGGGAACAAAAGTAATCTCAAATTCATAACAAGAAAATGTGCTGATTTAACTGGATACATTCTGGCTTTCAGATGCCACCAACCTTCATTTTATAGGGCATGCAAAATGCCAGGACAGTGGGATAAGAAATGCTTAATGTTTTAATCCCTAGTTGTAAGATTAGAGATTATTTTTCTTTGGTTTCGCTAACGCTGTGAATAACCAAAACACAGTCTATATTTTAAGTTGTTCTGTTGAAAATAATTGACATCAGTTCATTTTAATCTGCTGCCTGCTAATTGAAACACCCTTTTAATCAACCAAAGTGTTTTAACATCTTAATGAGTGCCTTAGATTATTTACCTTGTCTATAGAAGCTTCTTCATGTCTCACAGCCCAGGGGCATTGACTCTCTTTCATCCCAAGGGCTGTATTCTATTCCATTTCAGGTAGGCTTGTGATTACCTTAGTCCAGTCTTAGTGGCTGGGACCAAATACCAAAGTTGCAGAACCAAATGATCCCAAATAACAGCCTATTTCAGCTTAAAGTTTTTTCTGCCAGTAACTAGGCCTTAGGAAAGAGTTTTAAACCTTTAGAGTGGGAAGAAGACTGCACAAAAGCCAGGTAACCACCAGTATTTGGAGGTTGAGGAAAGGGGTTTGAGCATGACGAAATTCCAAAATTTCACCCTCAGAAATTCCAAAGGACTGGATTGGGACCCTAGAACAGATGTGGCTGCAAAAAAGGCAGGTGCATTAATCGAAGAATCACTTCCAAATCATGGGAAGCACTAGTTTTCCTCAGCATTGGTTAGGCCCCATCTGGACTCTTGCATCCAGTTCCAAGTAGCACAATTTAAGAAAGATGAAGACAAATTGGAAAAGTTTCAGAGAACAGCAACAAAGATGATCTGGGGACTGGCAAGAAAGCCCCATGAGGAGAGACTGGAAGAACTGGGCATGTTTAACTGTGAGAAGAGAAGACTGAGGGAAGGTATGACAGCACTTTTCAAGTACTTGAAAGGTGGCCATACAACTCTTCTCTGCCATCTCAGAACACAGGACATAATGGGCTCAAGTTACAAGAAGCTAGTTCTGGTTGGTCAGCAGGAAAAACTTTCTGACTGTTGTTAAAGCAATACAAAATGGAACTTGTTATCTAGGAGAGTCAGGGGCTTTCTCACACTGGAGGTATTTGAGATGCAGACAGACAGCCATCTGATAGAGATACTTTAACTTGGATACCTACACTTTGCAGGGCCTTGGTCACAGTGACTGTATTGGTGCCTTCTAACTCTAATATTATATGACTGTATGATCATGCCATTTTAAGGCACTTAGAAGACTAAAAGCATACTTCTATGCATCCTGAGAAAAAGGCCTAGAACTCCCAGTATGCCCTAGTCTCAGAATACAAAGATCCTTTGTAGTAATACTATGAATAATACCATCAGCCTTGTATGTGTGTGTATATATATATACTGCTACACACATATACTCGTCAGAGATACTTTTGGCACAACCATCCCCCATAGTTTGTGTGTTTCTTTCTTTTTTAGATTAAGGAATTTAATCCTGTGGCTTTTACTAGCTCAGCAAGGCTTTGGGGAGTGACAGGGGATGTGAAATAAATTGCCTCACAGAAGTATTCACCCTGCCCCTTTGACTTTGCTACATTTGGTTCTATTACAACCTGAAATTGAAGTAGATTTAATTGGAATGGTTACCACTTGATGGACACATGATACTCAACACTGTGAAGGTGCAAAATGTTTTTAGTGTGGCACAAAAGCCAAGTAAACAAACATACTCAAACTTGCTGGTGAGTCAACACTCATTAGAAGTCCTTTTGTAGCAATTCCAGCTGTGGGCCTTCTTGGGTAAGTCTCTGTCAGTGTTGTGCATCTGGTTGCCCATATCTCTTGACAAAATTGCTCCAACATTGTCAGGTGGTGAACAGCAACATCCAAGTTTTGCCACAGGTTCTAATTTAGATTGAGCTTTGTCCTTTGACTGGATAATAAGTCATGCAAGTTCTTGTTTTTTAATAATTCCACTGGTACTTTGGTTGTTTGTTTAGATTTGCTGCCCTGCTGGAAGAGAAATCCCAGTCCCAGGTTTCACCCTTGCTGACTGAAACAGGCGTTCCTCTAGCATTGCTCTGCATTTGGCTCCCTAAATCCTGACCTCTTTCCCATTCCCCAAGCATCCCCACCACCATCCCTCACCATGGGAATGGTGAACTTTAGGTTTTACGCCCCACAAAGTGTTTTGAAACAAGGCTACAATTTTCAGTTTTGCTCTCCTCAAACCAGAGAACTGTTTTCTGCAAGTTTGCTGTATCTCCCACACACCTTTCTGCAAACTCCAATGGACCTTGGTCTGAGGTTGGTCTGTTTCAGCAATGGCTTTCTTCTTGCCACTGTTCCTTCAAGACCAGCTTTGCTGAGTGTCCCATGTATGATTTTTTCCACCTCAACTGTGGATCTCTCCAGCTCTGCCAGAGTTACTGTTGGCTTCTTGGTTGCTTGGTTTTCTGACCAATGTCGTCTTCTCATGTCAGTGAGTTTTGGGGAACAGGCTTTTCTAGGCAGAGTAACAGTTGAGCCATATCTTTCCATTTTGTACTAACAAATTTAACACGGTTCTGAAGGATATTCATAGTGTGAGATATATAAACCAGCTAAGACACTATCTGGACAGGGAGAGCTTAGCTAGACTTATCCATGCTCTGGTAACCTCTTGTTTGGATTAATGTAATGCAGTACATGGGGCTGCCCATGAAAACAGTGCAGAAACTTCAAATGATCCAAAACAGGGCAACAAGATTGTTAATGGGAACTCCCTTATGAGAACATATGACACCAGTCCTCTTCCAGCTGTACTGGCTGCCATTTGAAATCTGGCCCTGATTCAAAGTGCTAGCATTAACATGTAAAGCTCTAAACAGCTTGGGGTCAGGTTATCTGAAGGAATGCTTCATTCCATATGTACCTACCCAGACCCTGAGGTCATCTTCAGGAGTCCCCTCCAAAGAAAGTGAGGCAGGTGGCTACAGGGAGAAGGGCCTTTTGGCTTGTGTCACCCCAGTTATGGAATCAGTGGCCCAAAGAAGTGCACCTGGCACCTACTATATATATATTCTTTTTGGTGCCAGGTGAAAACCGTTTTATTTTCCCAGCATTTTAACAGTGCAACTTTTAAACTTTCGTTTCAATATTGCATTTTATCTTGTACCACTGCTATGCTTCTATGCTGACTAATAACAATTGCTATTACGGTTGAGTTCTTTTAAATTAATTTGTGTGTGTGCATGTGCTTAATTTTTGCTTAATTTTTACTTTTGTCAACCACCCAAAGAACCTTGGCCATTGGGTGGTATTAAGTAAATAAATAAACAAACAAATCCTGGTTTGTGCATTTGTACAACTTCATCCTAGACTTGTTCTGAAAACTCCTTGGTCCTCATGATGCTGTTTGATTATATATGCCCTCCAAGAAACTTTCAGACTTTATAGGGACAGTCTGAGATCATGTAGCACTGGAATTACACTCAGGTGAACTCCATTAGTATGAGGCTGGAAGCAGTTGGTTGCATGTCTGAACAAAATGAGTGATTTTTTATGCAACCAGAAGTGCCAGTTTGTGTTTGTTTACTGAAGTTTTGTACCACAATAAAAATAGACTGCATCTTCACAATGTCGAGTATCATGTGTATATTGAGTGGTAACAATGCTAATTAAATTCATTTTAGTTCTAGGTCATAACTTAAAAATAAGGAAAGGACAAAGGAGAGGAGAATATTTCTGCAAGGCACTGTATATAGTGCAGCTCTGATGGAAGAATTGTTGCCATTTGTGATAATTTTTTGTATGTGTCTATCCATCAGGGTTTTCAGTGTGTGTACATGATCATGTAGCTGCAGTATCTGTTCTAAAGATATGGAGCAGATTTGCCTTTTTACAGCCTCTTTTCTTAGTAGCTGGAATCACACTGCAACTGCAGCAGAGACCTCTAAAAAAGAGGATAATTATAAGTACAGTTGGTATGTCTGAACATTTAAGGTTTTCCCACCAATTGTCATTGTTGCTGTCATATGCCATTAAGTTGCCTCTGACATGGTCAGCCTGTAAATGAATGCCCTCCGAAATACCCTCAGCTATTATAAATTCAAGCCCTTATAAACAATTTTATGGAATTGATTTTATGGAATCTTATATTTAGTCTCCTCCTCCTCCTCCTCACCTCTTGCTAGCATTATTGTCTTCTCCAGGGAATCTTGCTTTCTCATGATGTCCCCAAAGTATGTAGGCCTCCATAAAACCAAATAACCTCAGTATCTATTCTGGTTCAAACCCCAGCAATACTTTCTTTCTCCTAGTTACTTTTGCCCAGGTAAACATGTATTCATTTGCGCAATAAGATGTGCAGTGAGATCTCCGTCAGTTGAGGCATAGTATACCTATTCCATAATTCATATGGACATTGCAAACCGAGGGGGAAAGAGGTCAGTTTAATTACCTTGATTTTGAACTGAAATTCAGTCCAGGAACTGTAGAAGCAAAAATTAGTAACTTTGACAAGGGCTGGCAGCTGCAAACTTTCCACCTCAGGGTCAGCTTAGAAATTGAATACAAATGGAAATGGAGCTGGCGGGAGCAGACATTGCAGATACTATGGTCCCGGTTCATGCATACATCCACCTTTACTCCATGTTTGTGTACACAGATACATACTTGCATAGAGACAGGCAGAGGTTCCTGTGATTATAGTGGCTGAAAAATCAAAATGTGTCCATAATCAAAATGAATGCCTACCATCACTCTGTGTTTCATTTTGTTCAAACTAGCATGTTTGTATGAGATTATCTGCTTTCCTGTGTGGAAAAGATACATGTACCCTCCACATAGGAACTTGTCATTGGTATTTTGTACATGTTATATTTAGTTATATATTTGGGAAGATGTGAGCAAGCCTTCTTGCTCTTTCATAGTCTCCTGGTAATTCTCTTACCAATTCATTCAGTCATTCAATGTAAGTGTGTAAGCCTGAGGGCAGGGAGTTGCTCTTTTAAAATCCTACAAATACGATGACAGAATTAAGTGCACTGTTATGAAAATGTCTAAGCTGAATATTTTAGCCAGCACTACTTTTGATAGATGAAATCTAGTCTCACATAATGAAGAGGGACAAATGCACTTTTGAAATGCACACAATGAAGAGGAACAGTCTATATATCTTTATATCAACCAGGATTTTGACAAAATTTATAAACATCATTCTACGCTATCTTTTACAAGCAACCGCTTTAAACATTAATTACTGTTAGTCTATTAGAACCATTTCACATTAGATCTCGCAGAAGTGGACAGTTCCAAACTAAATAAGTGTTAACTGCCAGGATGGTGAAGCTCTGGGTTTGGAGGGTTCTCCTGCTGTGTGACACCAATTAACAAAGAGAGTGGAAAACACATCCGCATTCAAACAGCAACTTTAAAAGAGGCCTCCCTCACCCAGGATGTCACAACAAGCCACACCTGGTGAGGGTAATTATGTCAATCAGTCCAGCATGCCTCCACTACATCCAGGGTGGTTAACAAGCTACCATCTCTTAGTGACCACCCTGCAATCATGCAGACCAGCCCAGACTGTTTCCTTGGTAGAATTTTCGGCCTCAAAATATGGAGCCAGTCAAGTTACCTTTAAAACTCCAGCTAATTTTCATTCACAGTAATCATGGAAGTGAAATCATTCTTTCAAGACTATGATGAGCTCTGCATGCATTCATTTATATGGAAATGAACATAAGAAAAGGTTTATGGCTTTCCATTAAACCCTGAATACTATGTTTCCCTGCATGGAAATGTCATGGAGACCCAAAATAATATCACAGTGATTGAACCCAGTGTGGCCTCCACACAAATAGATTCCTACCCATTCGTAGGCAATTCCCTGCAAGTGAAGAGAGCAGGTGAAGCCTCTGCTATTGTGGAGCTCTGTGTGAGCCCAGGAGCCCTGCGGAGACTTGAATTTCTGTTTGCTTAGTTTCTGTGATTTTTTTCAAAAAGATATAACGCTCTTAAGTCAAGAATGAAGGTGTGTTCATACCAGAGTAAACACACCTCGAATAGTGTTCCAGAATCAAAGCATTCTTTTGGAGCTGACATTTATTGCATTTCCTTCCTAGTCTTGTATCTCTTATAAGAGGCCAAGTGGTGACTGCAGATGGAACTCCACTCGTCGGAGTCAATGTGTCATTTGTCAAGTATCCCAAGTACGGTTATACCATCACTCGCCAGGATGGCACGTAAGTCTATTTACTTCATTTGGGACCTGCATAGTATGTAATATCTGTGCAGATTAACAGATGGTGCTATCTAGCAAAACCATGAGGTACCATGCATGGAATTCCTACTGGGCTAAAGAGCTATCAAGGAAGCCACGAAAGTAATTTTTCACATGGTTTTTTGAATACAAACTGAAAGTAAATATGAAAGGGCTGACTTCTGAAAATAATATGTTAGCACTTGGGCTTCTTTTCACAGAAAGTACACTGTATCTCTAAAACCATTTGTGGACTACAGCAATATCCAGCTGAGACCAGGAATACTTAATCTGGCAATGCAAGGCAGGCTAACACTCATTTGAAGCGGGAAGGAAACTCATTATAAAACACTACATTTTCTTAAAAGTTTCCATCTGCCCCCTTTCTTTCTGAAAATCCTCAATCTTCAGAGTTTCTTGGGGGCAGAACATAATCATAATTGAATATAATTAGACAATTCCCTACTGTGTGGAGAAGTTTGTCCCATTTCCCTATTTATTATCTGATTTGAAACATATTCAATTTCAGCCCAAACAAAAATATGTGTCATATTTTACCAAATGTATTGGATATGGCAGTAGAATATCTGTGTGAAAGAATGTATTGTGACTATTTGCAGCACTGTATAAGAATGCCTAGTCCATAAAAGTAGTTTAAATGGAAATAACTGATCAGAAATAGCATTGTGGATGGGAGCAAGCTTCAGGTTTCTGTTGCACAGCTATAGCACTAAGATTTCAAGGTTACAAATAAATAAATAAATAAATAAATAAAATACCATGGTTATAATAGTGATTCGGGGCTTTGGTATGTTGCATTATTCCATCATATCTTCACTTTATAAGACTGAATTTTTCTAAACCACCTGCCATTCTTTGCTTTACCATCTTCCATGAATATGTCTGTATTGTTTCTCAAGGGCTATTCACAGTGGGCTCCACGTTGAAAGCAACACACTGTTCAGTGCTTCACCATATTTCATGAACACATTTACATTGTTTTTCAAGGACTGTTAACAACAGCTCTTGTTCACAGTGGAAGTTTGTATTAACAAGCCTCTCTGAATCAGGAAAAGAAGTGTTTGGGCTTTTCTTGTGTACTTGGGAGGAAAGAGACTGCCTGTGAGAGCAGACTACAGTTCTCAGCCCTGGGATCATGAGATCAGAATCAAAAAGGGCATATAAGAGCTGATGATTTAACAGATTCATTTCAGATCCTTAAGGAAAGAACCCGACAGGAGTAAAATCTTGCTGGAAACTGGTGTGCTGTATCCACTGTTTTTTAGAATGGTCTATCCAAACAAGGGGTGACATGCAATAATCTTTCCTGGTTTAAGTGTTTGTGGACGAGGCATACGTTTCTTTTGGTCCAATTATTGCAAATACTGGGGAGCACTTGAGCCCTTCTCAAGTATGTGTCCTCATTTCTTTAGGAAAGTCCAACTCCTTCAATTTGAAAGCCACGGGTTTTCTGATGTAGTAAGAACAAATGTTTTGTGTTTTTAGATTGAAAATGCTGCATTTCCAGAGAGATCCAGTAGAGAGCCCACTAATGCAGATCGCCACCATTGTCCTTTCTGTGCCATCTGCCACATCCTTTCCTTTGCAAGAGTAGCTCTGTTGCTGCTAGGATTAAAGCACATAGGCTCTCATGAGCTCTGAATCTGATCATGCTCTGAAGAGGTCATCCTTTGAGCCATTTAGGGTCTTATTTATCATACAACTTTAAACTAAAAAAAAATGTTCTACTTTCTTGGTTTCCATGGAGAACCCTAGGAATTTCATTTCTTTGAGTATACTGAGAATTATTTTAGTGTCCTCCTTTACTTGTAATTCCTAGGGATAGTAATCCAATATTGGTCCTACTTAGAGTAAAGCCATTGAAATGAAATTACATTAACTGTGGCTCAGCCCCAAGGTTCTTAGAAGAGAAGGAGACTTCATGTGGTAAAGACAAGACTTCATAATCTCAATATAATGAGTATCCATACTTCATAATTACCACACTGTATCTCCCTTTGTGATTTGGACCACAGTGACCCCAGACAAACACAGTTGCCACATAATGACAAAGCATGGATTACGCAACACATGATTAGCTGGGGCCATGCAAGTGCAAGTAGTGTGCCTCACAACTATGCACTGCTTTCACTTTGTTTTCTGATTACAAAACAACTCAGAAAGGCCTCATTCCTAGGCCTTTGCTGTGACATCCAAACTTGGTAGTCTGGATTGTAGAGGTGCAAGCAACCAGACTTTTAACTCAAACCAACCATGAGTTCATACTCTGGGGATTTTGTCCCTCTGCACTCCAGAAGACCAGGTTTGGATGACACAGAAATCAGCTCAGGAGCAGGGTATTCCTGGGTTGGTTAGCAATAAGGAAGCAAAGCAGAAGTGAAGAGGCCATTCTTAGGCAGTGCACTCACTTGTTCTCACGTGGCTCCAACAACCCATGGATTATTGTTAGATGCAACTGGGTCACCATTGTACAGTATAATATACAATTGTAAAATGTCAGTGTTTCAAGTTAATAAATACAACCTAACTGAGAGTCATGTGAACAGTAACCTCCAACAGGTGTGGCTAACTCTTCAGTGTATTCATTGCAATCTTGTCATCTCATTATCTATTCCTTTGCATCATGCTAGAATTATTCATGATGTGAATAATTTCTAGGTTTGACTTGATAGCAAATGGAGGAGCATCTCTAACTTTACATTTTGAACGAGCCCCATTCATGAGCCAAGAGAGGACGGTATGGTTGCCATGGAACAGCTTCTATGCCATGGATACACTTGCAATGAAGACTGAAGAAAATTCCATTCCTAGCTGTGACTTAAGTGGCTTTATCCGGCCTGACCCTGTTATTATTTCATCACCACTTTCCACATTCTTCAGTGATGCTCCTGGTCGAAATCCTATTGTTCCAGAGACCCAGGTATGGTCTTGAATGTGAAACAAATGTTGTATCTAGTTGACTTTTCTGCGTTGCCAATTAGTGCCCTACAACTGATTTTCATACTGGGCCAGTTCTTGTATTATGGTGTCAAGTACATTTGTAAAGTTTCTATTGGTCTTTCCTATGTTAGAAGCCCAAAGTTTGCAGGGGATATGGGCATGTCCAAAAACTCAGGGATATAAAGCATGTGCAAGCTGAGGGCTCCCTGGCATGTGTCTCTAAATTGCTTGGAGATATTAATCTGCCTTTCACATTTGATGGTTTCTTTGCAGGAACGATCAATACAAAGATCAATTGATGCTGCATAAAGTGTAAATCGGCCAACTGTGAGGGGAGAGCCTTTAATGTTCATTGTATAGACTTGAAAAACCGAGGTTCCAGCTGAACTACTTGTGCTGGCTTTCTTCATGACCATGTCCGACATTACATTTCTGTACAGAATTTGGTACAAACATGCTAGAATCCAATGTCTTTATCACTTCAATGACTGAAATAAATATTACACAGATTATCTCAGAGTTCTAAAAGTAGTTCAACATGATACATATTTCAGACTTACACTGGACAAAATCATATGCCTCCAGAGTTAGGTACCTGATACTGCCGTTGATCCAGTATACAGTAGATATTAATGCCTCACGTAAGCATATGCACATACTGCACTGGGCTTCCTTGTACCTCAGCGCAGCACTTTTTTCTACATACCTTCAACTTTCCCCACCTTTCTCTCATTCTATTCCGAACCAAGTGCCATGGAGCAAGCCTGGCATAATGGCAGCAGATCTGTGTGCTTAAGATACCAGCAACCCAACCTTAGATACCAGAGGAGGATTGACTGTAGTTGTTAATGGGGCACACGAGCGCAGAGTGGGGAACTCCCATCATCCAAATGGCTTACCTCCCTGAAACTAGTTTCCCTCAGAAATGTTGCTTCTCAACTTTACCAAGGGGCAGGGGAACAACTTGTGGGAAAGGCTGTGAGAAGGTATGTGGAAACCGTGGAGGAATTTCAGCCTCACCTTTCTGCGTTACACTTTTGAATGAACCATGCTCCTGAGTCCTGCTTACCCTGCCCCACATTTCTGCTTTGTGTGTAATCATTACATAAAGGAGAACTGGGAGGAGTTGGGGTCCTTTCAGTTTTCCACATTCAATCCTAGATAGGTGCTCTGCAAAAAAACTTTTCATGCAAAACAGAAATAACCTGATCGTTCTCTATCCAAGAAAAGATTCATAATCTTCATTGGGCTCTTGCATAATCTTCATTGCTATGAAGATGGTGGTACGTCTGTGTGTTTGTGTGGGGGGGGTCTCTTTGGGTACTGCTCTTGCTTTATGCTGATTATCAGTAGCAGTTACAGGTTCAAATAGTTGCAGATCTCTTGCATATACTCTGTTATAACACCTGTGGTTCTTATTTATCATTTAGTTAACAATGTTGTGTGTACATGTATTTTTAAAGAAACTGCAACAGCATTAATAATGTAGAAATCATATCCTGAGTTGTGCTAATGCTGGAAGGTCAGGCTAAAACCACTCAGCAGCAAAAAAATCATTATTCTGTAAATATGATCCATGATCTAAACAAACATTTCCATCTGTAGGGTTCACATTTAATGTGTACTCTTTTTTCTCAATCAGGTTCTTCAGGAAGAAATTGAAGTCCCAGGTGCCAACATAAAACTCTGCTATCTGAGTTCCCGTACTGCTGGATACAAATCTTTGCTTAAAATCACCATGACACAGTCTCTCGTGCCTCTGAACTTAATTAAAGTTCATCTGATGGTGGCAGTGGAAGGACATCTTTTCCAAAAGTCATTCCAAGCATCTCCCAATTTAGCATACACTTTCATTTGGGACAAAACAGATGCTTATGGTCAGAAGGTTTATGGGCTCTCCGATGCTGTAGGTATGCCATCAGATCAAATTATACAACTCTTAAGTGCCATTCTAACAATAGCTGGTCCTGGGTAAAAATTCCACAATCAGTGTTCAGACTAGAAATAATATATGGCTGACTACAGACACTTCACAGTAAGTATAACTGCATAGCAGTACCTTTCCCCAGCCTTCTAATGACATGTACATTCTTGTATTCAGTAGCGTAAGGAATGAGCACCCTAAAGGACTCCAAAACCAATTTCCAACAACCACCCCCCAGATCCTCCCCTAGGGTCACCCTCCCCCTGCTATACTGTCCTGAACCCCACTTGCAATTTCTTACTGAAATTAAACAGCAAATGGCTGGGGAGCCTTAGAAAGTCCAATTTCAGTGTGGATCATGCAAACCAGGTCTCTGTATTATTGGGCAATTTTCACAGGGGGCTTAGTTCACACTTCACGTCGTCTGCATCCAAGAGACAACAGGCTTATGCCACTTTCCCACCATGCTATTGCTATACCAAATGGGACATTTAATTGCATCTCTGTATTACCCACTCTGGCCAAAGCTCTCCAGGCAGTTTTCTTTCTATCAGCATCCCAAATATTGGTTTGTACTAAAGATAATCTGGCTTACTTTAGATGGATGGGTAATCCAGTGCACAATTTATAGATTTATCAAATAAAATCAATAAACTGAGCTCTCAGAGAAGCTCAGGGCAGTGTACATGGGGTTATCCCTTTTTTTTTTCTCATAACAACAGAGTAAAGTTGTTGAAACTTACAGATAGTGTAGTGAGTGTCATAAGGTCACAGGTGAACTTCATAGCAGAACACAGCACTGCACCAGATTTCTTTACTCCAACTTTGTTACTTAATTCTCTATGCCATGCTTGCTGTTTGATGAAATATATCATTAAGCAACCATACTTGCAGAGCACTTTATGTGCACGGCACGCCATATGCTCACAACAGTGTGTATCACGCTGATATATGTGCCAGGGAGCTGCCATTGGTCATGGGCTCCTGCTGTGTGTAAGTGCAGTGGTAAACGTATTTGCTAGTACATAATGTGTGAAGACTGCTTCGGAATCCATAACCATTACAGTAAATAATAAGTGGGTTCATATTGAAATTGGAGCAAGGGAAAAGTCAATTTGGTAAGAGCTGTCACTTGTAATTTCATATTTTCAAAGGTCTCTGTGCAATAAGACTCCCTTTCTGCAGATATCTTATTAGCATATATTTAGTGCACCATTTAATATATTTCTACTGTAGCATCTTGTACATATTTTTCATGATCACATATAGTATTGAGCTACATTTCATACAGACCATGCTGAAAACAGCTAGCTAATTAAAAAAACTGGTCTGTCATCATAACAGGGTTTTTTTCTACTATTCCCCCCATTTAATCGGTTATCTCCACCCTCTTACCAATTATCAGATTTTACAGTCCTCCTGAGTACAACTGAATCAAGTTTCAGGGTCAAATGAAGTCAAATATCTGAATTTAATAATGCAGAATAAAAGAGAATATCTTGGGAACGGTACTTCATGATGGATGGAAAGTCATTCACATGCAGTGATTTTTTTTTCCAGTGTCTGTGGGATTTGAATACGAGACCTGTCCCAGCCTGATTTTATGGGAGAAAAGGACGGCTCTGCTGCAAGGATTTGAACTTGATCCCTCAAATATAGGGGGGTGGTCTTTGGATAAGCATCATGTGCTTAATATAAAAAGAGGTAATTTTGCTGGTTTTCGTTTGTTTTCATGCTTTAGATTTGGACTTCCAAGCTTTAGATTTCCATTCTCATAGCTACGTCCAAAATGCCAAGCAGTGCTTCTTCTGAAATCTAATTGGTGCCATATGCTGGCTGGGTTGATACTACTCAGCAGCCTGTGCTCGAGGTTACATATGGGTTGAGTAATTGAACCATGGGTTATTGTTTAATGTGCATTGTTGCCTTGTGTGAACTCAGCTGCACTAACAAGCAACGAACCAGGGATTCTTTGTGTAGGTTGTTGTTAAGAATGGCTGGGAAATGTCCTGCAGGTACCCCCGCTAGAGTCCTGGGCACTAGATTTAGCACCAGATTCGCCCAAACCAGCCACATGAATGAAATGAAAAGTGTTATTTGAAAGGGAAGGGGAGAAAACACAAGGTATAGTAAAAATATAATGATTAAACACCAAAGCAAAGTATAACCCCAATTCTAGAGAGCGTGTAGACTCTTCCGCACATCATTTTGACCACAAATAATACAACTAACCCTACTGTACATTAGTTATGCAATGGGTCTCCCAGGAGAAAGAACCAGCATAGATGTTCAGGAAATCATCTCAAACCAGTTCCCTGACCAGAGGGAGACAAAAGCCCATGCCTGGAGCTTTGATTTTTAACTTCTGCCTGGTAATAGGGTGACACCCTACAGCCAATTCAAGAGTGGCCCACCATCTCCAAGGCATCTCTTTCCTAGGGATTCTCCTAGCTTCAGGGAATAAAGAGCTTAAAGGTTAAAGTGATAAAGCCCAAGCTTGGGAAAGAATTCTTCTTCCCTTGGGTAAATCATCCAGCCTTGGAGTAAATCATCCAGTGGCCCAATTCTATCCACCAGGCATGGACACCTACTCCTGGACCTTCTTCAGGGGTTAAGAAAGGATGGTTTGGTAGGGTGGCTGGGTTCTCACAATACAATAACCCCCACTCAGCCTTGAGTGTGGGCTGTCACTTGTGTGAACGCAGCCCCTGAGGCAGCTATTTGCAGGCCAATCACAGAAATACAATATTGTATCCACTGATTATTACAAGCCAGTCCAAACACCTGAAATGTGTGCAGAGGCCGGTTTCTGTCTTTGGTATGCATATGAAAGGCTTGGTGCATCAAAACAGTGGCTAAAATATGCATTACTGTTGACATGACGGTAAGAAACTGCCTCCTAGACTATCTTGTTTTAAGTTGCTCATATTTGCCCTTTTTTGAGCAGAAGGTGAGAGAAAGAAAAAGAATGTGCTTTAACTCAAATAATAGAAACATAGTTTGCAGAAATGAGCAGGAAATGATCTCCTTATTGGGGAGAGAAAAAAACTTATTTTAAGATACAATGCCTAAGGCAGAAAGGAAGGCAAGCTGGGAGACAGAGAGAAGGCCGCAAGCGAGCAATCCAAGGAACAAGATTCATTGCTGCTAGAATTAGAGAACTGACTGAAATTTCAGGTCCAGTGAAAGTACTGCTTGACTGTAACTTGTAAAAGGGACTTGAATAAAATATGAACACAGTCTATTTAAATTAGCTGAATGCATTTATCTCTAGTTGTTTCATTAGCCTGGTATTCATAAGATTTTTTGTAAATGCTGAAAAATGTCAATAGGAAAAGTTCTAAAGTTCTAAACTTTTCCTACTGACATTTTTCATCAATAAAATTTATACTTGACTATCTGGCATTTTGTGGTACCTTTTGAGGAACATGGTTATCTACTCCATGTCTAACTGAAACCTGAAAATTAGAGTTTTAGGGCCAGTTTGATTGAGACAGGCAGAGGGAAAAAGTATTTTACCAGGTGGTAGAGAAAAGGCCACTGGAAGAGTATAGTAAAAAGAGTTGCGGGTACACCACATTGCTTGTTTTACCGTCTTTTTACATAATTGGGCATAGCTCTTCCATGACACATCCAAAATAATTAGACAAACCACTAATGAGGCTTAGTTAAGGTTGCAGGGTGTTGCGGCAATCCTATGTGTATACCTGAGAGTAAGCTCCAGTTAATTCAGTGGTGCTAACTTTGGCTGCATAGGTTTAACTTGTAAAACACATTGAACTTTAACAAAATTTCTTTGGCCAGTAAATGACATGAGTTGCTTTTAATTAAACATGCAAACAATCTTGCAAGGAAGTATTATTATTTTCTTCATCCTAGGTAGTTGTCAAGTTGATCTTGACCATTATTGATTTCTGTAAAGAGCGGATTTCTTGCTCTCCAAGCATTGCTGTGATAATCAAGCTATAGAAAGTAAACCAATGAAACAAACCCTAGCATCTGCACTTCAGGGAATTTGCTATCATTCCTGTATAATTTCTTATATATTTACTTATATAATTGTGTATGCTGCCTTCTGCACTACATAAAAATGCATATAAGTCACTTTATAAGTCAGTCCGAGTCAATCAGACAATCACACAACAGCCGCATCCCATTAATAGAAATGCTTCTTGTTTTCCTGCTCATCATTAGGTATTCTGCACAAAGGCAATGGAGAGAATCAGTTTCTAACTCAGCAGCCTGCTGTGATCACCAGCATCATGGGGAACGGTCGTCGAAGGAGTATCTCATGTCCAAGTTGCAATGGACTCGCAGAGGGCAATAAACTTCTGGCCCCTGTGGCACTTGCTGTAGGAATCGATGGAAGCCTCTTTGTTGGGGATTTCAACTACATTCGTCGCATTTTCCCCTCTAGAAATGTCACCAGCATTTTGGAATTAAGGTAATTCCACTGTTCTGTGTGCTGCTACAAGTACTTTCTTATCTGTTCCTTCTTTATTGTTCCCTGTGCTGTTGTTGCTTCAAGTTCTCAGTACAGCCCCCCTTACAGCTTTCAATGTGAGCATGACTTTGTCAGGTGAAGAAGGATTGCTGGATCAGAGCCTACATCAGTTTTCCCACCTGGATGCCCTCCAGAGGCCTTGTACTACATGATACGTGTTGTAGTCCTAAACTTCTGGAAGGCAACTGGTTGAGAAAGCCTGTTCTATATGAAGCTGCCTTTTCTCTTCTTTATCGGATTGGAATAGAAATTCAAGCAGCAGTTTAGGTGCACGCTGCTCCTCGAAAGGTGTCTAGGACGGCTTCCTTCCCCAAACACAAGAGGAGCAATGCTATTTAAATACAAACATAAAGCATCTCCTTGGCTATTAGAAAGGCACCATTTTTTGAAAAGGGGATGTGGAAGAGAGATAGGATATAAAAGAAGCAGAACTGGCAGGGCAAAAATATAAGGCAGGAAAATATGCTTAATCCAGGGGAAGTAGCAATGGCAGGGTGACACAGAAGTGGCAAGGATGAAAAGGGGAAAAGAGAGAAAAGTGGATCAAGGAGAGAGGCTGTAGGAAGAGCATGGCAAAGAAGAAAGAATGTACAATGGGAACAAGAAACATAGTAAAGACAGAGGAAAAAGGGGGCACAGAAGGCAGGTGGAAGAAAAGTACAGAACAGATGAAGAGGAAATAAAGGATGCAAGATAATGGAAAGGGATGAAAGTTATGGCAAGCACAAGGATTGTGTTAAAGTGTCAGTGAAGGCTTCTATATGAATATTTTATAGTAGAATGCTGCACTAGAATGGACCCAGGATCTGACTCAGCAAGTCTCCTCTGGCATCCTTATGAGTATTGCTAGGGAAGCATCCCACAACTTAGCTTCCAAGACTTGTGTGAGCACCCACCATCTATCTACCCATTTAGCTTATCTAGCTCACACACACAAGTCCTAAAGCTTAATGGTGAAGTACATTCTAAAAGACCAATTATATTCATTTTGGAGGGTGCTCAGATTAATGTCCTGAGTTTTTCATATTCCATTTGGACATTAAAATTGTATTTGTTGCTATAATTATTAAACTGCTTTTTAAACAATGATCAGTTTAATTCTGATCATGTTTGCCTGCATTAAACAAACAGAAAAGGAGAGAATGACCAACACGTGAAATGTATTTCTAGCCTGGAAAATGGTTAGGGCACAGTAACATGCAACTCTTATGTCAACCCCCTCTGTGAAGGGGTCTATTGCATCCTTAGCCTCTTTTTTATTTTGAAATGTAAAGTAGCCCTGCAAGACAGGAGTAGGGTCGAATACACATCAGCACAAAGACAAGGGTCACAAGTTAGAGAACAAATGTGGACTCCCATTCATCAGTATAGGTGCACATCATTGGTTATGTGCATTTCTTCAGATGGTAGAACATCCATAACTCTGTCTCCATCTATGCATCTCTCACTTCCTCATATTTGAAATAAACCAGGTGAAGACAATGCAGCGCTGCGTTAAATCTCACCCAACGGTGCTGAGATGCACGTTGATTAACACTGTGGATTTACAAAGCAGCGTGTCTCATTGTTCCATTCCATGTAAAATGAATGGCCACATTGACAGTGAAATCTGCTAGAAGTGACAACTCTAGGGAGCAAAAGGAAAGCTAGATGCAAAGCAGAGATGGGCTCAAGGTTAAAGAACAGCCTCGTGGTTCAATCGTTTGACTGGAAAGGATATTAGCACATTTCACTTTTGTCAGGCCTACACTGCACCAAGTCTGCTGACAGACAGCTGCCAACTCCTCTCACTGTCAAAATAAAAGACAGACACTTTTATGCAAGACATTTTTTCAGTGATCCAGAAAGTTTCTTACAAAAATGCCTTGTGGGGCTGTTCCAGCAGGAATACTGACTGCAACTACCTTCTGTTGTGCTTCATTCCTTACAGCACAATCCTACACATGTTTACTCAGAAGTAAGTCCCACTGTGTTCAATGGAACTTACTCCCAGGTGAGTTTGTATACGATTGCAGCCTAAATTAGCATAAGGCTACAGCTGAAAAGAGCTTTCCTTTCCCATGTCAACTTGCAAAATAAGCCAAAATGCTATGTTTGCTATACAGTCTCTTCTTCAGCTAACTGTTCTCTCTTTCTCCCCCCTCCCCTTTCTTTTTTGTTTCCTTTCTGTAAAGAAATAAAGAATTTAAACATAGGTAAGACCTAAGATCACAACCCTGTTATCATTTGCTATAGTTCATTTGTTTTGTTGTGTTTGCTCTTATGTATTGTGCTTCTTGTGTAACGCTCTGTTTTAAGTGTATCAAATGTAGCAGCATTTATGTGCTAATTGTGTGTTATGAATATGATAAGCATTAGCAATTAAACAATGCAGTCCAAAAGCAACCAAATAAGTTCTGACAGCAATTAGGAGTGTCTAATGGAATGCAAGTATAATGAACCCCAAGCTAACTTTTCTATGAGCACTTCTCCCTGCAGTCTGTAATTGGCTTAAATGGTTGAGGCAAACTACAGCAGTGGCTTTTGTAAATGCTGGAGAGCATGCAAGAATGCACTAATGAACTGGAAATGGGTCAAAAATTCATTTCCAACTCATTAATGACTTTTTTTCCTAGATTTGGTCTTCCCCACCCATTTAATACAATGTTAGTAGTTGGCCAATCTGTTGAACAGATTGTATCCAACCACCAAATTCATTAGTTATGTTAAATAGAATATGGATTCCTTTATGAAAAGGTTCATTCTTTTCCTGGTCAGTGCCCCTGCTTACTCTGTGGATGCATGCATGTTTTGCTCATCTGCCTTGCACATGTTCCACTTTGACCATTGCAGTAGGGCCATAGGGTTGCTGGGAGCAGCCCAATATCAAAATTCTATTGCTGAGAAGTAAAAATAATTCAGTGTTTGGCTAAATAAGGTGTAAGATGAAAACAGCAAGGGTCTCATCTGATATATCTTTTGAGATAAGTAATTCAAAGTAGCTCCTGAGACACAGTAAACCTCTGGCCATGTTTGCTAAATATAATTTCTCTTTTATTACACTGCTTATGATAAATAAAGTTAGTACCTGTAGCTCTGTGCTGCTCTAACAAAATATGAGGGCCCTAAATTAGTTGAACCATCTTCCAATATGAATCCTCTCCAACAGGTATGTTAGGAGCACTCCAGGTCCTCTTAATATTTGCACATAGTGGCCAACAGGAAGTTACTTCCTGTCATTTCCCTCACTTCCCATCTTCTATTTTAGAGGTCCTCTTGCAATTATTTATCTACTTGTATCAGACTGAAACTCCTGGGGGCTCAGCACTCAAATATCCTTATTCAGTATATAATTCTTGCCACTTCTCTGAGAGCGATGTTTTTGTATTAGCAGAAGCAAGTATAGTAGTTTATTGTTTGAAATGTATGTAAGTATTGGGAAGTAGAAAATAAGGAGAAGCCATATTTTCTTAAGAGTTTTCTGATGAGGTGAACCTATTTATCTGAACAAACCATATTTTTAATATAATTCTTAAAGCCTTTCACCCAACACATACATAATGAAGTGAGTATACTGGTTAGGGAGCGAGGGAAGAAGGAAGGAAGGAGGAAGAATACTTAAAAGACAAATAGTATGCAATGTATAGTTGTTTTCAGTGCTTAAAATGAGAGACAATAGACATTTGTTTCTATCTTATCAAGAGTAAAAAAAAACTATACTTCATTCTAATTTCAGTATAGCAGAGAGCCATGCATAGCTAACAGACAGTTAGCTTCAGCAAAATGATTTTTGCTGATTAATTTGTAATTAGAAAACAGCAGAGATCACCTACATGTTGACACCCCTAGATTGCCAAAGCATTCCAAGTTATTGCTGCCAAGTACAAGGCGTGTAAGCTATTCCAGTGAATTAGTTTGTTCTATGGTGACCAAGATTTTATTGGGAAGACAAATTGTAGTCCCATGAAGAACGAAAGAGGTGGAATTCTTCTCCACACACCTATAGTGCTCCAGTGCATGAAATGCTGGGAAAGGCCATTGTTCACTGATGGAACACATGCTTTGCATGCAAAAGTTCCAGGTTCAGCCCTTGTCATCTGTCTGCAAATGGCTCCTCCAAAAATATAGAGGGCTGCTGCTGGCCAGGGTAGACCTTGTGGTGCCCTCAGGCGCTTGTAAACAGCTCTCTCTGCACTTCTGACATGGCCTGGAGTTTATTATATGAGACCTGGAGGTTAATTGTAAAATTAAATAAAATCCGAATAAAATAGCAAAAAATAATTAATAAGAGCCAGTGCGATGCAGTGGTGAAGTGTGCAGAACTGAGACTCAGAAGATCTGGGTTCTAGTCCCCACTCCTCCATGAAACTAACTGAGTGACTTTGGGCCAGTTGCAGACTCTCAGCCCAACCTACCTCACAGGGTTGTTTTTGTGAAGATAAAATTCAGAGGAGGAGAATTATGTAAGCTACTTTGAGCTTCTTGAAAGGAAACAAGGCAAGGTATAAATATAATAAATAAATATAAAATGAAATAAAATGAAAAAGTAACATTGTTTTTCCAGGTGCAACATATCAAAGTGCTGTCTTTCATCTCTAATCCAAAGATAGTCTTAGAAAGTAAAAATAGCAAGGAGCCAGAGGTCATTATATCACTTGGAAGCTTTTGTAGATGCCCAAAGAAAAACAGAGGAAGGGGTAGATTCCACTGCATAGTAGTCAGGGTTGGTGATTGCAAGGCGGCAACCAGAAGACATCTGAGATTGACCTGTGAGAGGGCTCAAGGCGGGAAGAGGAAGTGTTAAGATCTGGGCTGGAGGTCAATGGGGATAGTGTGGGAAGGCCTGTGAAACCACCTGACAGGCGTTAGGAAAAGCAAAGAGAAGCGATGGGAGGGAGGGAGAGAGAATGTGTCTGGGAGCGTGACTCTAAAAGAGCAAATTGTGATTGGGGTGAATGTGCTGAAAGTGTGGGACAAGAACAGTTTCTGACTGGGGGAAAGAGCACTGTGAGTCCAAAGGAGAGGTTTTATGTTCTGAGGTTCAGATTCAACTTCTGTCTAGTACTCATACTCCTGAGCAAATTATTTGTCTTTAAGCCTCATTAGTTACCTTTCTGTGAAATGGGTGTTTTGTGACTGGCCGCATTTACCAAGGCAGTCATTTTGTGAATGGGCACCACCCATGACACTTTCTCACACATTCCAGATATGCTTTCTGGCCCATAAAGATAGGAAACCTTGCAGGCAGCATTAAGATAGACAGACAGAAGGGTTAATTGGAGGTGCTTCTGGATTAGGCTTTCATTGTACAATTGCTCTGCTTCATTGACTGAATTTTCCATGACTTCCAGACATCATCTTCCACTTGTAACCTTCCTATATTTTCCTACCACCTCTTTCTTTCATCTTTTATTCCTCACTATTAAATATTTCTTAAGAAGGGGAAGACAGAATGGCTCCACCATTTTTTATTATTATTGATAATACTACTAGTCCTTTATGTAGAACAGAAGAGAATTTCTTCTGGCAGGTTAGGGTCAATCCCTCCACCCAAATTTACAAAGGGATTGATCCTTGTTGCTATTAACATTTCTACCATCACTGAATTTACAACCAAAATTTAGGAGGGGTGACAAAGAGTTGGATTTTTCTTTTAAGTGCTTACCATGTTTTGAAGCAAAAATCACTTTTTGTGGATTTATGGGAGAGGATTGGGATGTGATGGAACATGTCTCTGGATCCTATTTCACTTGTTTAAAACTGAAGGATGACTTAAGGCAGGGATCCCCAGTCTTTTGGGACCTGTGGGCACATTTGAGAATCAGAGAAACTGCAGTGGGCACCAGCACAAAATACCTAATCTGATGATTGCCCCTTTGACATCTGACTGTGATGTCTATGGAAATCAAACTGCATCATATACAACAAAAACATTTGTTTTGTGTCTACTGGACACTGCAACTTCTCTTGGGTATACGATTTTCTAATTCAGCTACTGGCTAGAGATGCAATATAGTTAATGCATCTTTTGAATGTTATAGCTTTTATAGTGTCACATAAATAGCTTCTTTTGGACAGGTGGTTATTTCACAGATACATTTAGTACTGCAACAGCCTTTAATATTCATGGATGCAGATGCTTTTTAAAATTGTTTATCTACTTTATCAACATTTTAAAGAATGGTCAGTGTAGATGGATTCTCTGTGTCCATTTGACAGCCTAATATAACCATGCAGGAAAGGTAAACATTCACCTATAGTGCAATAGAGTTAGGACATTAAAACAATGTGCACAAACAGGTGGAGTATTGATGCCAACTTTGAATGGATACCTAATTTGGATATTCGGTTCTCTTTTGTTGAAGCCTTTGTATAGTTGGGGACCCCTTCAAGGGTGCTGGTGAGGTGCCCATAGGCACTGTGGACCCCTGCTTTAAGCATTAAGCACTCTGTCTTTTTTACTTTCCGCTGAGAGTTCTTGATGAACAGGATTTTGTCACATCCAGGCCTTTTTCATGTCAAAGGGTCAGCTGGTCTGTATATCACAACACTTCAGGTATCATAAGAAATTAGGGGCCTGAATAGGATCAAGTCTCTCCTCACCCAACTTTCATCTTTTTCCAAACTGACTCATACCTTGAACATTTCATGGCTCCTGGCAGACGAAGTGCATAGTCAGTCTTTATCCTGTAATTTTAGGGTTTTTTTAAAAAATATGCAGGCTAGTATTTTGTTTTTCGGGGGGGCTCCTGTACATTACACCTTTGTCTATGGCTGTCACATTTACACTGCCCTACTGAGAGTATTTTAGTGTTCACCTTCACTGTTACGTATTCTGCAATGTTACTGAGTCAAAAAGTCGATGTCCCAACATTTCATTCTGTCTACCAGCATTTTGGCATTTTAACTCTGAACGCAAGTAAGAAGGACAGGCTTTAGTAGGCTTCCTGGTTGCACAAAAGGTCCAGGCAAACACGAGCAAAAGGCTCCAGCAGACTTCCTTGTTCAACTTCAGAGGGCAAGCGCATAGGTGTACTGCATTCCTCTTGCGCACATTCATGTATCTTAAGCAGTCTGACGCTTAAATAAGACTTGGTGTGACCAAGAAAAAGGCCTCCCAATGGGTCTGTGCCAACAAGGTGCATGCCTGGCTCTCCGAATGGATCACTAGGATGAGAAGGCAGGTTTTGCCCAATTCCATCTGGGCCTTGAAAGGAGATGGAATCTGATCTTTGAAAGGGGGCACTGTGCCTCAAACAAGCGTAATGGTCATTGTCATTCATACACCCAGCCTGATCAGCTCCATGTCCTCAGTGCACTTTGAGCATTAAAACAACATCACCGGTTAAGCTGTTGTGCTGACGATCATGGCCATTCTTATGCCAGCCCTAAGCACACATTGGCCAGCGTGGTGTCCCACAAGATATGGCTGTGGGAAGCCCATACAGGGCAGTGATTGTGAGGATAAAATGCAGAGGAGCTGCCTGGGATTCCTTGCAAGAGAAGAAAAAGAGGGCTATAGGTAAAAGAATTGAAAATGCACAGCGCTGTCCTTGTTTCAGTGTAACTGAGCTTACTTCTGTTTCTAAGAGGCCAGCAAGTCTAGTTGCAAAGAAATAATGAGCATGTACACTTTCTTTGTCCTGCTGACTTTTAAATCCACTATTGGCTTTTAAAGAAGTTTTCCCCTTATCATGCAGAACTAGCATCTGCAGAGATCTTGTTTAAAGTACTTATTACATCTGCCTGTTAGCCAGACATGTTTGTGCAGGAGCTTCTCCATTTAGTCCAGTTGTCTGTTTGAATAGCTGAGGCTGACATTTCTAAATTTGCAGGTGGCTCACTGGCTCCACACCTCGAACAGCTGTCAAAACAGATTTATTAGGAATAAGATAATATCTCAAGACATCCACTGACCTAACAAGATAAGGGGAAAGACTTTAGCAGAACAATAGCTTAGCTTATTGTCAAAACTGGAGGACTTGTTGCTGTTTTAGGTACACATTTAACACCACAATCTTCAATAAATCTTCGACAGTCTTTATCCTGGTATGAAGGCAAAGAAGAATAGGCTTTCCTCAAAACTATGTGCTTGATTGCTACAGCCAGATTCTAGTGATGCATACTAGCTTTTAGGACACAAATGCCTGCCTGTATTCCCGCAGATAATATAGGATCCTAATTTGGCAAGGGAAATGGAACCATCCTCACCAAAGAAAATTATTATTTTTTACCAAAGGTCAATACAGGTGATGCTTTCAGTTGATCTCAGAGACTGACATTGGAATGCAGCAACACCACCTCACTGTCCACTACTGTTTATTGCATATTGTTCAATGATTATCTGGTGCTCGGTGAGCCATTTCATTGCCATTGCATTCTCCATTGCATTCTGAAAGAGATACACGAATGTTTTCAGCCCTGACTCAGGACTGATTTGCACTTTTTTTTTCTCACTGAGAAATTCCTATCTTTTTTAGGAGCCCTGTGATCTTTGTAAAATGTCAATGACATTATTACCAATAGTTAATTTGAGCCAAGGCTTTCCAGAGCCAGTCTTAAAACCAATTTCTCATGACCTGAGCTGTAGCAATACTGAAATTAGTAAAGTGGAAAGTACTTCTGAATATATAAAACGTTCAGTTTCCTTGTCACTGAATAAGCAGAACCATTGCCGTGAATTTGGGATTAGGGATTGAGGGTTCCCACTCAAACATTGTGCTGTGTAGGCAGATATGGCCCAGCATCTCATATTTTAGAAATGAAAAGCTGGATATCATTTTTGCCAAGGAATGCCAACTTTATCCCATGGGGACATAGATTGGGAAGCTGATACAAGCATGTACACAGATGTTATTACAAAGTATATATAGGTATCACAGGTAGACTGTATTCATGCATGAGTTATTATGAGAATGGGCATAGCCTTTCCCCGTGCGCAAATGTTCCCTCTCTCTTCTAATGTAGATTAACCACAGTTTGACATGTTATCTAAACCCTAAACTTTAGAGTGGTTTGTTGGGACAACTTATCTTCAAAATCCATGGTTTGATATTAGTTGGTTTCAAGCAAACCATAGTTAAGATAAACCACAGTTTATTGGATTCGAGAGCACAATAACAGTTTAAACAGGCATTTCCTAAAGTTTGATGAATTTGTTTTTTGGGTAGAGAGTATATAACAAAACCACCACCACCAGAGCCTGGATGTATATGAAGTCTTTTTTTCAAAACGAATTTTGAGTCAGTTTACAGCTTACAAATCAGCAAAGGAGAAACAATTTAGAATGCTTTTACTCTGTGTTGGTTAATTACAAAGACTGTTCTGCCCTGCTTCCTTAGTACTAACCTTGAACATGACATTTCTTATCATTTTGGAATATTAAATGGCAGTGCTAACATCTAACCTGCATAGACTGGCCATCTTATTATAAAGTGTTTCAAAACCCTTTATAACATTCTTTCTATAGAGAGTGAAGGATAAGAAAGTAAATCACTGCAATTAAAAATTATGATACTATTCATCTTTTATACAGTTTCATGGCAAGCTATAGTGTTCTCTATTATTTTGCATGGTGGGAAGAGGGGGTAAAAATTTTACAAGAGGCACAGATGCTGTACATTTTTAAAAAGAATTACAGCTTCTTGTCAGAAGCCATCTCACATTGGATTCCCAGATATTTTTGCAGGTGTGGTTACCTTATTTTTGAAAGCACAGAATGAAAAAAAATCCATCCTGTATAACATAGAAGGATTCACATGAGTGATAAAAAGAATTCTATGAATGGAAGTTAATGAGAACCATATATATCTTCACTGCCCTTATTATTAAGATGTTAAACTATTTTCAGTTTTCACAAATTTTAATGGAAGATTGATTAGAAACCAAGGCAGCTTGGTCTTATTTGAGGCAGGAACTTCCTAGTGGGTGTTGCAGCCAACATCTAAAACATACAACACAATCCTGTGTTCATTTACTCAGAAGTCAATCCCACTGACTTCAATGGAACTTATTCTCAAGTAAATGTGCTTAGGATTGCAGACATGATTTGAGATGGCCACCTTGTCAGAGCTCATCAAACTAAATAGAAGGTTATAGACACCATGCAACATAGTGGTCCTTGCTTGGATGTATTTATTCAATACTTTTTAATCCATATCAGATTAGGATGGTCTATGTGACATTGTCATGTGATCTTCACAGTGACCTTGTGAATCAGGGTAGGTGGAGACACTGAAATTTGCTTCATGCCAGGATGACAGAGAAGGGATTTGAACTTGATCGCCTCCCATGCAAACCCAAATTCTACCTCTGCTGGCCAAATGAAGAGCAGACAGGCTATGTTGAAACTCATGTTAGGCTGTGTGAACCTGGGCTTCACTATTAGACAGAAGGACAGGGAAGTGCTGTTGCCATCAATATGAGCTGAAGCAGTCATTTACATTTCCTGCTCAAGACTACCTCTGCCATATCCCAGTTTACACTTGGTGAGCAGTCTTTATACGGATCTGGTTTGGCATCATTATTTCTCTCTCTCTCTTTCTCTCTCTCTTTCTCTTCTAAAGCAACAACCCTGCCCACAAGTACTACTTGGCTGTGGATCCAGTTTCGGGCTCGCTTTATGTATCAGATACCAACAGCCGTCGTATTTACAGAGTCAAAACGCTTACTGGTGCAAAAGACCTATCTAGTAACTCTGAAGTGGTGGCAGGGACTGGGGAGCAGTGTCTGCCGTTTGATGAGGCCAGATGTGGTGATGGAGGGAAAGCAGTGGATGCAACTTTAATGAGTCCACGAGGTAAGGGATAGAAAAGATAGCACAAACAATTGTCTGTAGCTACATCATCTCTGGACATAATTATCCTGCAATTAAATCACTGCTTGCTGAGTTATTTTTAATCTGCAGCTAATCACAGTAGATTGACAAGTATTTCCCATGTACAGTTTTGTCTTGGGGCTCGCTTGCTTGCTTTTACTGGAAGTAAACTGCAGCCCTTGTACTTTATTTACCTTGCAAAACTAAAACAAAACATTTGTTAACTAGGTGTACTCTGCAGCGAAAGGAAGTGTAAACAAGCAGTCTTGTCTGAAACATGATGTTTTGGGAGGTGCAGAAGTGCCTATTGCATTGTCTGAGCAGAAATGGTTGAAAAATCTTTGGCCTATACCCTGTTTATATACAGAAACAAAACCTGAACATTATTTTCTGACTTCGTAATATATTCTTTGAAAATGTTTAAGAGTGTGTGGAATAGTGGTTCTTCAATAAAGTTTGACTGTGTTTGCTCTTCAACATTGCAGTTTTATTTATAATGAAACCCGAGTGTCTATAATTTGGCAGGCCACCCTGTTAGGATGACAGAACACATAGCTGAACAATATAACTAAACACTGGGTAGCCTTGCCCATTATGGTCACCTACCCTGTAAATAATCAGCCGTGGTTTGGTTATTCTCTGAACCCATGGTGTATTCAAGAGGCAGTCGGCTCACTGTGGATTGTCCCCACACTGCCTCCTTGCCCTGTACTAAACTCCTGATTAGCCCTGTCAAAATCTCTTGTTTAAATGGCAATCAGAGCTTTGGCGGCTGTCCATTTCCATGCTCCTGTAAATAAGGCAGTTCTCACTCTTCTACTTGCCTGAGTACCAAAGGACTCAGGAAATCGGGATAAGTGCAAGGATACTGAGAACTCTCAGAGCTGTTCCCAGAAAATGAGTGCTTCTCACTCCTTTTGCAAGCAAAGGTTGCTCATGGCTTTGCTTTCCCATGGCAGCTTGTGTTTTCACACCCATCAGAGGAAAGCAAAATAAATAAATGCCTAAATGATAAACAGCAGCCACCTCTCAGGACATTGCCCAGTCAAAGCTTATATTTTGGACTTTCACAAATGCATACTACAGCACTTGCACAAGTCCAACCTGCTACTTTTTTCTAAAATATGTATGAAAATATGTGTGCAAATTTAAAATTAAAAGTTTTTAAGTGGGGGAGGAAAACCAGTGACAGCCCCTCCCATGTGTTCTAAAAGCAATCTCTGGGGGAAATACAGTGTGGCTATCCAACAGGGCTTGCAGTCATGGAGCAAGACACTGAGCCAGTAACGGGCACTCCATGGTGCCACGTGGACATCGGTAGGGCAGCTGGCAGTGTGGGTGACCCAGGTGAGAGGAGCAAGGGCATTTTGCCACGCTTGCTGAATGAACTTCCATCAACCCACAAGGGGGTCAGTTTCATGAGCTGGGCTGACATGTCAACCCATCATGTGTACAGGGCCCCAACTACAAATCATAAGTTGTCTGCATGATTTGATGCCTATGAATGAACCACCCTGTGGAAAGCAGTTTGGATTCACATGACATGACAACCTACTGTGTGAATCATGTAAATGTAGGAAGAAAATCCTACTTATTGGTAATGTATATATGCCAGCTTTAATAGGGTTTGGGGACAGGATCAACCACTTGCAAAATGAAGGGCTCTTCTCCCAACAGGGCACCTCCCCATCAGAGACCACAGTTTACCACTTCAATCCCACTGATTCTGTATAGCATTTTCAGGGAGCTGGCGGGACTGCTTTGGGAAGATGGGGTTGTGAAAGTCTATTTTCCCATTGTGAAAGTCTACTTTCCCCAGTATAGTTGATACAGTTTAAGTCTAGAGCCTAAATAAATTATTCTTAATTGGTAGATTTGAATGAAACAGCTCCAGTGAACCATAGAAATCTGAAATTCAAACTTTTGGGAGGAATTCCAATCCCATATAAAAAGGTTTATAAAATTAGTTTGTCAGCTGGGTTGCTTTGATTAAAATAAACTAATTTGAGGTCCTCCCAGCTTTTTTCAAACTTTTTATGTGAATGAATTTGATGTTCATAGCACCAAAAGCATGCAGTATTCCTTCTATGCTCTAGGCAATATTAACAGATGGTTGTCTAGAATATTACATTTGCTGCTGCTGCAGCAGATCAGGAGTAGTAGTTTCTCTTACTGAAACTGGTGCACATGTTTCTATTTCTCAAGGACTGTAGCAGCTAAAGGAGAGGATGAAACATTTAAAACTGGAGTAGGTGACTTGTGACATGTCGGATGTTTAAGCCTACAACATGCATCCTCCCTCACCAACATGCATCCTCCTTAACTGCCTTGGGGTGGTTGGAGTTCTAGGCCACAAGAACTGGAGGACCACAGCCAGATTTAAAGGACAGGGAGGTAAACAATAGTAAGGGAAAAGGAAAGGGCTTACAGTGGCATCAGTAGCAAGTAGGAACTTACCAGAGTTCATTAAGAAGTGAAGAGATGGCTTTTACAGCAAAAATTGCTAAATAACTATAACTGGCATGTGTGAAGGAAATACATTGAGACAACAAAAGTCCATGCAAGAAAATGGTTTAAAAGGCAGCTTCAAGACTCAGAAGCTCCTGGACTTGCTATTTTGTTATTTTATCTCGGGAGATTACATGTGTATAGATGACACATGCACGAGTGTCATCCACTTACCTTGATGTCTAATCAGCTCTTTTGCTTCAATAGCACATTTTTTTTCTTTTTTGTAAAATTAGCTAGTGCATGCACACTTACATATCTGCAGCATAATTCCCCAATGGTGGCATTCATGCATCTCTCCCAAATGGTGCAGAGTGATGGTACAAAAATCAGGAGATGCTAAGGTGGAACTTGTGTTGAGGGCATCGCTAGCCAACTGGAGTTGTGGGATGGAATTCCTGTACTTTTCTGTCCAAGAGGGTGTTGCACTATTAAGAATCAGATCCATCTGTAGAAGACAAATAATAAAATTTTCTTGATTGACTTGTATCTATTGCAAGGGATAAGAAAAAAAATAGTGTTGATGTCAGCTTGGAAATTAATTTGTTAACAGTTCAGAGCCAAGGATTTCATTGACTGCAGTACTTTTTGAATGTGAATGTTTCAGCCCCTTAAATCAGGTGTGTGCAAGTGAGTGACAACCACCATCATCTGTGTTCATGATAAATCTGTCAGCAGTACACAAGGGCGGAGAAGTCACTTTTGCTTTTGTTGAATCCTTGTAGGAATTGCAGTGGATAAATATGGCCTGATGTATTTTGTTGATGCTACAATGATCCGGAAGGTTGATCAGAATGGAATCATATCAACTCTGCTGGGTTCTAATGACCTAACTGCTGTTCGGCCATTAAGCTGTGATTCAAGCATGGACGTTACGCAGGTAGAGTGTTACTGCCTCTTTAAAAACAGGCAAAGAATCAAAAGATGTTTGTATTATTATTTTGAATATATCCCCTGTTATTCTCTCCAGCAAACACTGTATGTTCCAATCTAATGGGAACAAAAAAAGGGGGGGGTTGATGGTCTTGATTGTCTACAGTATCACGGAAGGTTTAATACGATTACTGAAATGAAAAACAAGGCTTCTTTGCAAAAAATCAGGTATATCAATTTTAGAAAAAATAAAGGTGGCAATGTTGCCCTTAACTGGCTTTGTTTTTCTCATAATTCGTTGTAGCACTTAGTCCTTGATACAGAAAATAAAGTTGTCCAGTGTAGTTTTGATGATTACTGGAGGGAAATTCCAAGTGAACTATGCAGTTTTGTGCCTTGATTTGGTCAATTAAGATATTAACCAATTCCTTCCTTGTTCTTCCACATAAAATTGAAATGCATCCTAAGAAATGTACTTTTCCAGGTTGTTTTTGAAGCAGTCCTAATTCATTGTGTATCACATAGGTGCGTCTGGAGTGGCCAACTGACCTAGCTGTTAATCCAATGGATAACTCTCTGTATGTACTGGAGAACAATGTCATTTTGAGAATCACTGAGAACCATCAGGTTAGCATCATTGCTGGCCGTCCGATGCACTGCCAGGTTCCTGGTATAGACTACTCCCTCAGTAAACTGGCCATTCATTCTGCATTGGAGTCAGCCAGCGCCATTGCCATTTCTCACACTGGAATTCTTTATATCAGTGAGACAGATGAGAAAAAAATTAATCGGCTTCGCCAGGTCACCACCAATGGAGAGATTTGTCTTCTGGCTGGGGCTGCTTCAGACTGTGACTGCAAAAATGATGTCAACTGTAATTGCTATGCTGGTGATGATGCTTACGCTACTGATGCCATCCTAAATACCCCATCTTCCTTGGCTGTAGCACCAGATGGCACCATTTACATAGCTGATCTTGGAAACATACGTATCAGGGCCGTCAGCAAAAACAAACCCGTTCTTAATTCTTTCAACCAATATGAAATTGCATCTCCAGGAGAACAAGAACTCTATGTCTTCAACATCGATGGCATCCACCAGTATACCCTCAGCCTTGTTACGGGAGAATATCTGTATAATTTCACCTATAGTGCCGATAATGACGTGATCGAGGTGATTGACAACAATGGCAACTCTTTAAAAATTCGTCGGGATACAAATGGAGCACCACGTCATTTTCTAATGCCTGACAATCAAATTGTGACTCTTACTGTTGGCACAAATGGTGGTCTTAAAATAGTGTCAACCCAGACCTTGGAACTTGGATTAATGACTTACCATGGGAACAGTGGTCTCTTGGCAACAAAAAGTGATGAGACGGGATGGACAACCTTTTATGAGTAAGACCATTTTCAGAATTATATTGCACATTCATTGTCTGTTTTGGTGATGAATAAGTAGGGGTTCATCATACTGTAGGAATCAAGGACAAAGGCAGGTCTAAGCATATTCTCCCACCATCAAAAAATGTAGTTTTGCATACATTTTCTTATTTATCTTCTAATGTTTAGGAGAATTTTCACAAGAACCAAATTTAGTAAATTCAAAGAAGAGGACAAGGGATGGGTACAAGATAGGTTAGAAAATATTCAAGTAAGGACTGAGTGCTGACTACTTACTGAGTAGAGAAGAAACATGGTTTTCAGTTAACCAATGACCAGGACCATGTGGTAGATGATGCAAAAACCCACAAGAGTGCCAGCAAGCTGCCTCCTTCTAGAAACTATTGTCTCTCCTTTTTTGGAGGGTTTAGGAAGCGCCAAATCCTGCTTAAATGAGTTCTGGGTTCAGCTTGAGCAGCACAATCGCCACTGGAAGGGAACCAGTAGGAGTGTAAATACCCCATTGGATTCTGCTCTTTCTTGCCATCAGCTGTCATTGCTTTGAAATAGGGTTCTGTTGGTGCTTTGGGTTCAAAGCAGTTTTTGGTATGCTGGAGCTCTGACCCATCTCTGCCTTCTAGCAGCAGTCTTCTGGACAGATGGCTTCTCCTTTGCCATACCTGACAGTCATTTTGTGCTGCTGCCCAGGACAGTTTCTCAAATTGTCAAATGTACTCACTGTCCCAAAATGTTGCCTACTTCGTTTTTGGAGAAAAAGACTCTCCCTTTTAAATTGTACTTTAAAACGTATCTTCATGACTATGACCATGCAACTTCAAAATGAAGGCTAAGCATATCCAACTGGAAATTGTACTGTACTTTAAAATATTTGCCATAGCTCAGAGAAGGATCTCATTCCTCTGGTTTGTATGAGTCTGCTAATATTATGAATATTCTCTGTAGAAGCTTATGTTCTGTAGTGTTCAGTAGCCTGAAAAAGAGTTACAGTGAACACATGCATTTGAACAGAAAGTATCAGGATAGGACCCAAATTCATTAACCTTGTATGACAGGACAAAGAATATTTATTTCCGTTATTTGTTCTGGGCAACTTAAAACCTAATAGATTGTGGCTACACCCCACTAAGTTTCATTTCACTAGAGATTTCAATATTGCAATTTCTTTTGGAACTTAAATGACAAATCTTGCTGTTCAAATGTCAGGATATTGGCACCACAATCTGTATGGGCAGATAAAGCATTGAATAACTACTGATTGCTCATTTTTGAGATTGGTGAGGAAATTGGATCTGAGAAAATTCTGGTGACTTACATAATTTCTGGAGAGCCCAAAATTATACTCATTTCAGGACAGTTCCTCTTTAACTGAAAGAGATGAAAGATAAAGTGCTAGGCTTTTTCTTTGTCTTTGTCTTTTTTAAAGAAGATTCTACTCAAGAAAACCACTTGGCCAGTTTTGTAGACTTCCTTCAAGTAAGTGACATTCTGTAAATATTCACAATGAAAAATACAATATGCAGAAAGTTTACTCTGGAGAGTCTGTGGCTGAAATGTTTACCTACCAGTCATTTGTGCTTCCTCATGTTCCTTGTGTGGTATTTTTACCCTAAAAGGACTTGTGAGGAAATGCTTCAACTTGACATGCGAAACTTGAGGCTTACTCATCAGTAGATGCTCTGTCAGAGAAGGGTCTACCATGCACTGTTACAAATGGACTTTTGAGATAAATTGGCCGGCTTGGACAGTTTCCATTTAAATGGGTGGCAGAACAATCAGCAGGTCTGCTTAATAAGTGCTTTGGACTACTGCTTCACATGAGTATAGGCAGATCAGTACTCCTCACAGTTAATCCAGTTTAGGAATAATGCTAAAGTGCTATTTAGTGCAATGAGTCTGGACAAAACTTAGCATGTTTTGCTCCTGGCACAGAAAAATTAAGGAACTGGGGGCATTTTCTTCTTAAGAATGGGGAACCTGTGCCCTCCAGATGTTGTTGGAATACAGCTTCCATCAGTGTTCAATATTGGCTATGCTGGCCAGGGATGATGGCTGTTGCTCACCAGCAACACCTGGAGGGCCACACAATCCCCACTCCTTACTCGAACTAATAAGAGTTTATTGTTAAATCTGAATTGCACCATATGGAAGTTAGTTTGAACTATGGATTAAACAAGCCAAGATCAAGCTATGATAACATGTTTTAATAAACTATAGTTTAAAGTAAACACATATCCAGTTTGGATATAGGAACAAACTGGTTATTTTAAACCAGGGATGTTACGGATATCCTTGTGGCTGTTCTAGAGAATAGGAGTGTACAAGCCAGGCTAATTATCACATAATGCAAAATTATGGTTTAGCCAGCATTATATCCTTACTGGGCCAGTGTGTCATGGTGAGATTCCTCATGAATGGGACTTTGCCACAACCAAGTCTAGGTAGTCCATTGATCAGTGCCTACACCACCTTTTCTGCATAGAAAGCTACTGCAAACATATTCTTGTAAGTTTCTTTCTCCCTGTATCCTTTCCAAATCCTACTGTTCAGAAGTTTTGAACATACCATATGTCCAGTTGTTTGGTCCCCTTGCATGTATATACCACAACAAATATAATTCAGAGGTGTAAATAACTGTATGGCTGGTGCAGTTGAAAAACAGCTATATTTTTAAGGGTATCCACATAATGGGGATGGGGGATTGGTGGAGTTTATCTGTGAAGTAGGAGCACACTGCCATCTGCTGAACATTTTATAGAATGGTTCCTAGGAGACAAGTATGTGTTTATGGATCTTACTGATAAAGGTTCATTATTATTTTCCAGAGCACCCCTTCAATCCTTTTTGCAAAGCTATCTTGAAACAGTATTATAATATTCTTCATCTACTATAGCATGAAGCAGTTCTAGAAATAATACATTGTATTCTAAGAAGAGATAAGAATCTGTATCATATGGTTTTACTCTTTTGTTTATTTTTAAGTTCATTACTGCAAGCATACAAATATCCCGTTTTAAATGTCTGATTGCAAAAGGAAAAGAAAGGAACTATATTTTGTGACTAGTCACCATAACAGATAAGAGCAGAATCAGGTGGGATAACTTTGGGCCATATTTTTCAAGGGGCTCGCATTACTCTGCAAATAACCTGTGGAGTAAGGTTACAGATTTTGAAACAACAGAAAACAAGGTTGAATTTAGTGCTCATCTCGTTGCTGAATCTCAAGTAGCCCAGTGTGGAACCCAGAGCTTTCTGCTAGGGGCATATATGCAAATATAAGGTTCCATAAAGGAAGCCATAGCCTTAAGGTTACAGGAGGCTGTGAAAGGACAGGACATTTTCACGGGCACTCAGTCATAGGGTTGTCCTACGTCAAAGATGACCAGACAGCATGTGACAAGGACAAACCATACATACTGTATAATTCAATCCCAAATACCAAACTACTGGCCGATCCCATTAAAGAGAGCCTTTCTGGCTAGGGTGCAGTATAGAAATGTGATAAATAAATAAATAGTGAATAGCTTATGGGTTGTCACAAAAAAAGTGGTAACACTCTAAATAAAACATACCAGACAGGCAGAACCACGTTTAAGCATCAAATATACTAAGAGCAATTTGAGCAAGCTGAAATATGTTAAGGAAAATGTAGCAGGATTAATGAATATGGTTCAGAGGCCACTGACCAGGATTCCGCAATTATTTCTGCAAGTTTTAAAAATACGTTACATAATGTAGAAACAAACATCACCTACTGACCAGATCAACCATTGCCATAAAGCAATGCCATACTCCACCTGCTCCCTCCTTTCCTCTAGCTAATATGCCTCTGTCAAAGTGTTCCTACAGATTCATAGCTCGCTGACATTTTTGAGGTACTAACTCCTCCCAGCCACTCATCAGTTCCCAGGAAATGTCCTGCTCCATCATAGTTATTGCTTAATAAATGTATTTACAGCTGCCTACTGCCTAAGTCCGTCGAATAATTAAGTCACATTATTGAGCATCCAGCACAATTGACTCAGGATTCTTTCCCCAGCATATTTCTCAGGCATATTTCTTCTCAGGCCAGCTGCTACCATACCCCTGTTCTTTTCAGTCTGATGCTTACCTTTCCTCCTGGACAACTCTGCATAACTATGTGTAGATAGACTTACAGAATGGGTCGATTTGCCCAGTTCAGCTATTAGTGCCTCATTAGTATGTGCTATTCCCCCTTTCCTCCCTTGCCTCCAGATAAAATGATAACATTAATATTCTCTTCCCCCCAAATTTGTTGATCTACTTTTTTAAAGGATCAAAGCAATTTGCACCAAATGACTTTTCTTCTGCCAAATGAAGTAATTATTATCATATACATAATTTTAAATTGCTTTATTAAATCTAGTTGTACCATGAGAGAAGCCATTAATATCTCTATTCCCTGAACAATGATCAGTGTTTTCTACTGTTTCTAAAACAGATGTTACCCACTTCTTTCCCAGGTTTTATTTCTATGAGGGTTTATTTTCTGTTAAATGACTGTTCATTTCTGAATCCCTTCACCTTCCATATCCTGGAAGAGAAATATCCTTGACATTGTTCACATAAGGTGGGACAATGGTACATTAAATGAAATAGATCAATATCCATTGCTAATAATAAAATCAGAATTGAACCTCTGTATTAAAGCACTAAATTTGCTTGCTTAGATACATTGATTGCATGATCCATATTAGTTACTATGTCAAGAACTTTGACGTAAGCTGGGAATTATTCAACTGGCATGTCAGCACATTAGAAGCAGAGACAAGACAAAGTATGTAATGTAGGAGGGTAGTTGTCCTTCCTGCCCCCAATGTTTGCACCCATGTTTCAAAGTAGATGTAACTATTCTTCATGAGCATCTATACATAGGTCAGCTTATTGGTTCTACTCACTACTCAATGGCTCGTTTCACATGCAATATGAAGCAGTGGGACAACAAATACAAGCAAACCTTGAACACTCCAGTGTCTTCCTTTCTCAGCAAAGTATACTTTGCCAACACTTCCAAAGTGGCAAATTAGTTTGCACTCAAGCAAAAACCATAGTTCAGATATAGTATCGAACTATGGTGTGCCTCAAAGGAGGGCGTGCTGGAGGTTGTGACAGAGGAGGAAGCACACAGATCCACAGTTTGCTCAGTTACAGCCAAAGTGGTACGTACATCTGAGGCAACCCACCAAGTGCATTTTGTTTCCCGCTGCAGTCCTGCGGTGCCTGGGAAGGCGTCCTGGGGAGCATAGCATGGGGTGCAGATCTGTGGGAAGAGAGAGGGATCCACACTGGCAAGCCCACCGCTGGCGGGTGCAGAGGCTCTCCTGCCCTTGCTGCTGCCAGCCTGAAGTAGTGGGAAACAAAGTGCAGTCCAGGGGCAGGCTTAGACGCGCTTTTCCCTCAAAGAGATCTGGAGGGAAAACCCATTAGTTTTGGGAGGCCCCCTGCCATGGATTTCTCCTCACTGTGTGAGACTATGAAATAATTAAATTGGGACTATGAAATAATTAAATTGATTTCTTTCTTCTTTTAAATAGACAGGCTTGTCATAGGCTGAGATTTGCTTAAAATAAAAGGAGAGTGAATGTTCTGTATTGGGAACACTGTTATAGCTATTATGAGATGTAACAAAGCAAAAATAATGGGAGAAGGGTCGCTCAGTAAACAAAAGCAAAGAAAGGGTTATATAGCAGAGCATCCAAATAATGGTTCTCGGGGGAGTCTTCTATGGGAGGCAGCATTCCCAAAGGAACGCCAGGCACAGTAGGTCTTCTTTCCACTCCAATGCTTCTCTTTTCTTTGGCACACGAACCTAGCAGCTTATCTTTCCTAAAATATAGGTGTATTCTTCTTGCTCTTCATACCAAAAGTGCACTGTTTGTCTTAAATTGTTTGCTCTTTTATACTGCATTTTCTGTATTTTGTAATCATATCTTAATTTACAAAAGGTGTGCATTATATATTGGTTCAGTTTCTTTTTTTAAAGTTATATATGTGGGACTTCTTTCTTACATCTTTTAGTTATGACCATGAAGGACGCCTGACCAATGTAACCCGTCCAACTGGTGTAGTAACCAGCCTTCATCGGGAAATGGAAAAATCTATTACTATAGATATCGAAAACTCCAATCGAGATGATGATGTCACAGTGATTACCAACCTCTCCTCCGTGGAAGCATCCTATACAGTAGTTCAAGGTACAGAAGTACAGTTCTCCAAAGACTCTGCAGAGATGTGTATGGCATAATGTAAAAGCAATGAAATAATGCAGAGAAGGGTAACTTCTGCCATGCATGCTTCTGGTCTGATGGACCAGGTTTCTGATGGACTTTTGAGAATCCCAGCATTTTATTTTGAACCTTAATCCAATAATAATAATTCTACACTCTGGAAAGACTCTTATCAGCATCACCATAGCAATAGAAAGAGTATAGATTGTGCATGTTTGATAATGGTGCAAATGCAGCTGTTCAATACCACATCACTCTTTCCATAGAAACAAAAATATGCATGCCATGGATCATTCCTGTTCAAAAATCATGGTCAGGGACTGTAATCCATATTTTTAAAAAGCTTTTCCCCATATACAGCAACAAACATATTGCCAACTTCAGAAAAAGTGATGTTTCTATAAAAAAAGTGTCATTCCCAGAATTGGAGAACTTCTTCCATGAATAAGCTCCCATGTGACTTTGACCATTCTGTACCTTTTATTGGGGGGTGGGGGGGAGAGAGACCCCATGTTTCACCTGTTGTCCATGCCTCAAGATGTAGAAAGAGGCTCTCCCCACTCGATTCTCTTTCAAGTGTTGCTGCAGCAGCATTGCAAAATAATTTCTGTGGAGATACCTCTTCCGTGAGCTGAAGAAGTCTTTCTTATCTTTCCAAGGATGGTTTAACGGAGACTTTCATTACGCAATTTCATGACTTAGATTACCTTTTCGTGTTCATTTTACTCAGGTTGCTTGTTCCTTTTCCATGTGTATGCATGGTGCAGTGGGCTCTGCAGCCATCTGTTTAGCAGGCAAGCATGAAGTTAATTTCTGTGCTCATTCCCAGACATGTACTAAACAAGCTCAAACAAACCATTCATCACATTTGCAGACTTCCCTTTGGAAGCAACCTTTGCAGGCCTCTGACTTTATGACCTTTGAGGTCACTGGCATTCACCTTCCTAGTATTTAAACTCAGTTTGTTAGAGACTGAATTAACCTCTAGCCTCTGTGTTAAGCCAGTTTTTAATACTCCTTCCCCACCAGCAATCTCAGGTGCTAAGCCACCTAAGAGTCATTGCTGTAGATGCAAGGCTAGACATCCGAAAAATCATCCTACTGCCCTGTTGGGAGATTCCAGTTTTCTCCAGGAAATGAAAATGGAGTGGGGATGCTTTACTGGCATTTGTCATTCTCACTTGAAATTTAGGATTTGCATTTTCCTTTCTGGCTAAGGCTGCTTCTACACTAACATGAGCCTCAACAGTGGTCCAACTTGTAGGTGATGAAGTTAACTGGAAGGAGCCCAGTGTGGATTCCAACCGCACTCACCAAAGCCAGTATCCCTTCATAGTCATCAAGTGAATACTCAACATACTCCATCTTTGGAACACAGTGAGCCAGTTCACCTGACACAAGAAGCCATCATGGAATAATTTACCCTTGAAGACCTGTGGCACATGCTGGCCTCCATTATGACTATGCAACTCCTTGCTGGATGCTGGTGATTGTGCAAATACAGTCAGCAGGGGTTATTTGAAGGCTAAATAACTGCTACATAAGTCACAGTCTTTTTTAAGGTATATGTGGGTTGTTTAACATCTGCTGGCCAAGTTCACACAACAGAATTCTCAGTCAGGTGTTGCATATTCATAATGAAGGCTGTAACCAAGCCACAACCCCTCGAAAGTAAATTAATCCAGGAGCTGCCATGTTGTCTAAACAGGAACAATGTGTTGGATCTAGATTTAGATGGGTGCGACTGGGCTGGTGGAAGCAGACTGCTGTATACCCCCTCTCCATGGCAGCTCCTCCAGCCTCTGAAAATGGTACAGAGAAGGTTATAAGGCCCTGGGGGTCATCCAACCCCCAGTGATTGGCTTATGTAAGCCACAACAAGCCATGGCATCAGCAATGCCATGCTGAAAATCCAGGTCACAATTAAAGCTTATCATTGTCTGAAGCCAACATGCATGTATTGTGTAAGGGATAAGTAACAGAACTCTAGAATAAGCTTGACATAACCACAAAAGAGGACACAGGTTTAACACTCCCACAGCCCACCACTACCAAATTCAAATGACATAACAACCCACAGTTATGTCTTGAATATCCAAAATGACAGCCAGCAAACATCACAATCCACCTTGGTTATGAACCTTTGAATAAGCCACATTGAGCTGCATGCTCTTGTTAGTCTGACATTTGTGCATTGAGATGATTTTTTTCTGACAACACTATATCCTCAACTCCACCCATTCATCCAAATTACTCTTCCACCACAACAGATAGGCTTCTACTAGAATGCATACTTTCTACTCACCTGACACATTGGACCAAGGGTAGGATTGTATTACAGTTGCTGGACACTGATAACAGTATTGCAGCTGTACATTGTCATCAGGAAAAATGTGGCCTCTTTTGGTCACAGAGCTGCCTTGTCATCATCATCCTGGTGCCATCTTGCAAAGAGTTGGCAAGATCATTGTGATGGATGTGACCTTGAATGGAAAAGGCATTCGATCATTAGATTCCCTTATGGAGATCCTCATGTCTGTACAGCAGGCCACATGTGTTTCATGCTGATGCTCTTTGTTTGGCAAAACAACAGATGAGCCCTTCAGATTTCCTCCGTGGTGCACCTCTGTGCCTGGCTTAGTTCTACCACATTCCTGGCAGAAACCAAATCTCATACACATTATCTTTCTTTCAACTGCATTGAAATTTCCAGCTTTTACGCTAAAAATGCTTTTGAGAGACTGTCAAGGGCTTACATGTCTACTCAGCTGGGAGTCCCATTGAGTACAATGGGGCTTATGCCTGGCTAGGTGGACAGACAGTAGGAATGCAGCCTAAGGGTACACTGGATCTCTGAGCATTAGTCCAGTCTCTAAAGTATTCCCTGACACTGCCGTATCTCTGCTTTAGCTTCATTTTCACCATCAAAACAAGGGTCTTTTAAAAAATGGCAGCCCAGCTGCTCCAAGAAGAGTTCCAAATCAAAATAAATAATCTTCAGTGTAGAGGGATGTAGACACAAATGGAATCTGGTTCTGGTTCTCTCTGACCACATTTGCTGTTGACCACAGGTCTTCTCAGATGAGCCTGACTCTAATAGCCGCCATTTAGGAAACCAACACTTGGCACTATTAAGGCCTTGCACTAAGTCAGCTAACATATATGTTATCTTCCATTCTTTCTCTTCTCTGGGAAACTGCACTTTCCAACATTAAAGTCACAACATTAGCACATTATTCCTACTGAAGAAATTATCTACCTTCTTTGCAATCCAAGAGTCTTTTCCCCCTGTCATATCTCCCCAGTTCTATTCTCATTCATGTTCCTGAAAAAATCCAGGAGTCTCCAGCTTGATTCCAAGAGACACCATGATCTCAGAAAATTATGTGTTATTTTTCTAGGCAACATTCTTCTCTCCACCATGCTGACTTTGTTATGCAGCTATAGATCTCAAGGACACCTATTCAGTCACTGCAACCATAAGTAGGATTTGCAGTAGGACCGGACCGTGTGGTTTCCAGGACAGAATTCTTTCAGATTGTCAGTGTTCCCAAGAGACTTTGCAAAATTAATGGTCATTGTTGATGTTTACCTGCATCATCTGATATTGGTGTTTTTCCCATGACAAATAACAATGAATAACCTTACCTAAAGTACTCTATAACAAGCAAGAAGGTATAGTTTCTCAAGCTCTATGTGAGCTATCAGATTTCCTCTGGGACTGAAATCTGTCCCAGCAAAAAATATCAACAAAAATCATCCTGTTGCAATGCTGGGCAGTAACTGGGAAAGTTCCTAACTGTTCATTATCTGATCCCACCTGCAGTTCTTGGCATTGTTACATAATCTGTGCAACATCTCTGAATGTTGAATGTCATTCTTGCTGCATCCAGCAAGAGGGATCCTTATTGCTTAGCAGAGATATCATGACTTGATAGAACAGTTCTCTAACATATCCGTTTTCCTTATTCCTGCTCGCTTTGTGGTTATTGCTCAAGATCATGCTAATTCAGGTCAACACCAGGCTGGCTCACTATGCCTAATGTTAAGAAATTCCATATGCTTTCTAATAGTATGGTATATGGAAACAAGACATAATTCTCACATTTTTAGTTCAATGACTAAAAGTTTTCCTCATATGAGTTTGTGGACTCCCCACTCCTCTCTCTGTGTATCCTGAATTTCATCATTTCATTCTCCATGACCCTAATGCCCTATATCCTGAACTACATTTCTCATCTATGCACTACCCTTTATTTTAAAATTCTGTTATTTTCTTACTGCTGTGAAACATTTAGGTTTTTGCAATTTGTAACTTCCTGTGATACCTTCTGTGCTTCCCTGGAGCTTATCTCTAGCTTTTCCTCAGCTGATGTGAAAAGCATTTGAATCCATGGCTGCATATACTTCCTATTTGTTATCCTTTAAACCTCATCGTTAGTCACTATTAGCTCAGCTAAGAGAGCAGCAAACCATCTGACATGAGCTCTGATTCACCTGACTTTTACTAACATCAGAATAAAGTGTTTAGGGGCCTGACAATTTACATTTTTTCCCTATTTTCCCCTCAAGAGCCTAAGACTGACATTGAAGTCACCTTCCAAATAACAGGATGTTGCAAAGGCTTCGTCCAGCTACATTCCTAGAATAGCTGTGCTCCACAAGGCCACAAGTCTTTTTCTATTTTATGGTGACCTCAGTCCAGGAGTTGCCTCCCCACCCACATACTCTTCCTTGTCTTAATGCTATGGGAGGGGCAGAAAGACTTTGGCCATGTGTGATTAAAGCCCTGTTTACACATTCTGCTTCATGCAAAGAGATTTCCCTTTTAAAACTCTGGAAGGAAGCTACCTCATCCAGTATACAAATATTGATCCAGTGTTACATCTTAAATGTATACCAGGTTCCAGTACTGTTCCAAACAAGCTTTGTGCTGAGGACACCAGCGATATGTGTGTGTGCGCGCGCGCATGCACATCTGCCATATATGAGTACCTTGAAGAACGAAAGTAGGCTGCTTACCAATGTTTTCTCAGGGATTTCCCTGTTCAGTCAAACAACTCATCTCTTTCCTTGCCAAAATTGCCTCTTGTTTGTAAGTAGCTCATTCTTCACTTTGGTGGTGAGAAGGAAGGAATTAGCTTACTCCCTTGAGATGTATGCAACAGTGTAAATCTTTCCCGTATCCCAAGAGTCAGCTATAAAAATCTCCCAAGACATGCTAAGCATAAATGCAGAAATTGGTATCTGATTGTACAGGTGACCATGAAAATATTCTCAGCATTTTTCCGCTGATTTTTGGTTTTGTTGAAAGACTGAAAAAATCAAGGTTTTTTTTAAGTAAAAAAGTTAACAAAGAACAGTTACAATTAGGAAAATAGTTTCCATTTTATTTCCTATCTTGGCTTTTTTGTGGCGCACCTCTTTTATTTTGACATATTTGCAGCAAAATGAGGTAAAGAGTTGCCAAGAAAATCATTTTGCTGATTCTTGTTTGGGGAGTCTTTAATTGTCATGCTTTCTCAATTTAAGAAGATAAATTTATAGCATAACCACTCTAGCAAGGCTTAGTAAAAGGATTAATGTGAACTTTCTAAAGTGATCTAATATTGCATATGCTACAACACAGTTAACAAAGCTGCAGTGAAAAGAATTTTGTAGATGATGTTTTTTTAATTAAGAAGTAATGTCAGTGAAAACAAACATTGTCACAGGACAATAGCCCGCTGACATATAAATGTCAACATTTATGGACTGTTTTCCTCCATTCTAATGGCTTTATTTTCTGTCTCACCAGATGATTAATTATATAGATATTTTCCTTCTGACAAAAGGATAGTGGTTCTTTGATGGCAGCTGCTCACTGTACTATTCCACCAGAAAAACTCCTTTCTTATTGCATGAGAGAACAGATCTGGTTGCATCAGCTAGTCAAGAGTATAACAGAGTCATAAATGCAAACTTCTGTCAGTCAGTAAAAGGCCAGATGTCTGGTTGGCTAATAATGTTTCTTCAAGAGAGAATAAAGAGTGACACACACACAAAGGATTGTGTCTGGCAGCTCATTCTGTGTGAGCATCATGCCTTAAGGACTGAAACCTAATCTATAACTGTGCCATATATCTGCTAACAGAGTGTTGAATTCAGTGTAGAAGAAGAAAGGCAGACTTACTCATTTCTAAGGAAAAGGTACAGGCAGTTCTCTTTATATTTTCAGACTGAATAGAGTTCTTGTTGACCCAACACTTCAATTAAAATAATTTTCCCTCCAAGTTTCTCTCAGATCATACAAGTATTCACAAATATCGATGATATTTGCTTTAAAAATCAATATACGTTTTGATTTACAATTAAGGAGCAAGTGGGAAGCAGAATTCTAATAAACTGAAGCATCTCTCCAGGCTTCAAATATTTCATAGCATTGTTCTTTGCATAAATCAATAATCTCTCAAATATCCACCTTACCACTACACAAGTGGTAATTACCAGGAAACATCATTTGAGATCTGCAGAGCCACCATGAAAGCCTAGCAGATTAGGTAATACGTTTTCTTTATGACCAATGTGCTAAGTAATTTCCCCCCAATTATTGCTCCAGATCAAGTGAGGAACAGCTATCAGCTCTGCAATAACGGCACCCTGAGGGTGATGTATGCCAATGGAATGAGTATTAGCTTCCACAGTGAACCGCATGTCCTCGCTGGAACTGTGACCCCAACAATAGGAAGATGTAACATTTCACTGCCAATGGAGAATGGCTTAAATTCAATAGAATGGCGCCTCCGAAAGGAACAAATCAAAGGAAAAGTTACTGTGTTTGGAAGAAAACTCAGGGTAAGTTTAACCCACGCCTACAATCAAAGATATTTCGGAAATGGAATGTTTTTAATTCCAGTATTCTCTTACATTTAATTTCATTCAAAATGTAACAATATGAGATATGTTTATTTCTTTGTTTATGAAAACTAAATGAACTGTAGAATGTCAGGACTACTTATGAACAGAGCCATACCTTCAAATACAAACCTGAAAGCAGGGATGGAATGTGCAAAGGGATGCGTGGGTGGAAGGGCCAACCCCCTCTCCAACCCCACACTTGCTGCTCTTATCATACAGTCTGTTCAAAGTCCTTTCTTCCAGCACCCCCACCCCAATTATCTTGGTTACACTGCTGGAAATGAGCCTTACTAGGAGAACTCACTGGAAGGAGACTTTGCAGGAGACACGGATGGGCAGAGATATAAATTGCATCCCTCTCCATGCTAAGTAATAAAGCTATTATTTAGATGTATTCTAAAGAAACTTAGCATGCACGTTAAGCATTTATATACAGCTTTTCAGGTGTATAGCCTTCCAAAGCTTTTGAAATGATACCGACATAATGATTAATACAGTACAACAAAGAAAATCACATTAGAGGAACACCTGAAAAGCCAGACCAATATATCACTCAAACTAAGCATCCCAAAAAGCCTGGCTGAATTAGAAAAGAAGTCTTCACCTGAATTAGAAAAGAAGATATCACAGGCTTACTCGATCTCTATGGACACATCCCTTTTGATTAAAGAAGCATGGGAAATTCCCAGCAATTAGAGATTACTCTTTAGTACGTTGTTGCTGTTTGTCATTTTAATGCATGCAGCTACTTCTGTCTGTTCATATCAATGCTCCTTACTATTAACTGATGGGGGCTTGCAGCGTATCATATGCTGTCGCTGAAAATCTTGTTCAATGTTGACCGACACCTTCCAGTTTTCCTATAGAAAATCCTCCTGTCAGTCTTCTTCAATTCTGTTTTACAAGCTGCATTGAGCCCTGCATCCTTGAGATTAGTTTTAGGATGTGTTGAATAAGGTCCTTATTTGCTAGTTACAGCACATCAGAGTGAATAATGCTAAAAATGTTACTTTCTCATCAGCTTAGCCTCAACCTTAGAGGAAGCTGATGCCCTTCATGTAGTGTTACCAGAGGTGCTTTCCCCATAATGACTGTCACATACTCTTGTGTTTTGCATAAGGGAAACCAGTAGGACATTTGATTAAAATCAGTAATGTCTTGACTCTGGGCCATGCAATTGATCTCTATAAAAGCTGCATTATAGGTACAGTACAGAAGCTGATTATTAATAGCAATTATTCTAGGGTTTTTCTTTTCTGTTCTTCTTGCATTCTTTCCTTGCATGAAAACAACTCTGCCATTTTATTAAACTCCCAAATAACAAGTGAGGTCCTAAATAAATGGCTGTAAGCCTGACTCTGAGTAGTAAAACCTTATTAGAGTCACTTGTGCTAATTAGAAGAAGTTAAACATACAAGTCTTAGAGCTGAATTCTTGCCAAGCAAAGATTTTTTTGCACCATGTATATGCAAATCAAAACACAAGCTTTATCTATCAACACCTCAGTATTTAATTGTCTTGTGTTAGTTCCTGTAACAGTAATCACATATCCATTTAGCTCTTTTAAATGAAAATCACTATGAGATTATAACAGGTTGAATGGACTGAAAGTGCAATTTGAAAACGAGAGAAAGCATTGAATGTATTTGCATCTTATTTATTTTAATTCAGCTTTCTTCAAAGTGCACAGTGAATGAAACAAAAGCAGCTGTGTTGGGAAATAGCAAAAGGGCACACATACCACTGAGGTTAGGCACAGACACCTGAGTGAAATGCCTGGACTGGGGGTATTGATGAAGGCGTATGATTTACAGAGGTGTCCCAATATAGCCACGATCTGCAATATATAGTGAGGTCTACCCAAAATATAACAGCAGATTTTCAGAAAAGTAAGGCAAAGAAAGGTATTCATGGCACCTGCTCCATGGTTTGATACATTGTTTTGAAATAACTATAGCTTTTGTGGCATACTAAATTTCTATAGTCAAGAACTCAGTTTTGCCCACAAATAACACCTTTGAATCAGATGCCTTTCTCTTGAACCTCAATATGCAAAATCTGTTTTCAGCTCTTTGAAAGTATGACTGGGTCTCTGCACATGTTCAGAAGCACTCTTTTCTTACTACTTCATTTGATCCCAGACTGAACAGTGGCACAAAAATAGATTTAAGCAGTAAGTTCAGAGGAGGAATGAGCTGATCGATATTTTGGACTTATGGTTTGTCCAAGCATCAGAAATTGCTTCTGTATTGTTGTACAGGAACAGACATGAAGATTCAATTGTGTTCTATATTTAAGGAGATTTTTCTTTTCTGTAATGGTTTTACTAAATGCAGGGAGCAGCACTTAAAAGCATCAATATAAGCTGCAAAATTCAAAGTGATAGTAGCAATAGGACAGACCAACAGTGGGAAATGGTTAAATATATATTTGCATTCATTGTGTCAGTTCTCAAATGTGTTTGATAGTAATTGGGTTTTGAACATTTTAAAAAAAAATTAAAAATCTAATTAGGACATTATCTGGAACTTAACTATGCTATTTTCACTGCCCACAATCCAACATGAATTTAAATGTGCAGAAGCCCATTTATTTAATGAGTTTAAAACAGTTAATCCTACCTTGGACTATGGTTTGTAGATTGGATCCAGATTTAGTCATACTGGAAGTACCTTTGGATTCAGCCAACCATGTAAATGCATTTAAGACCAGAGTGTAATTGAAGAAAAGGAAGTACTTCTTCACACAACACACAAAGCTTATATAAACTTAATAGAACATTGTTATGCACCATAAAATACATTTTGCACAGAATTAGAGGAATTCCCTCAACAACTTTGCTATGTTGGAAGACTCATGACCAGAGATAGTACATTAGTGGACATCAGATATCATGGACAAACTAGACAATTGTTGGGGTGTGAAAGCTAGATGACATGGACCTGGTCAGATGCAGCAATTCTCAATTTTCTACCTATGATTGCCAAAGGTTTCAAGGCCCTGGCTATGAGTGATGGATATGCAAGAATAATCCTAGGGAAATGAAACAGTGAGTCATTTGCCAGATCCAGAGCTGAACCCCCCCCCCGCCCCCCCACAAAGACCTCTGGTTAAACCATTAATGTTCTTGTAGCAAAGGCCTCTGCTGCACACTCCCTCTTCAGTGGCTATAGAGAGTTGTTTCCACCTATGCTACATAAAGTTTGGCTTCTTATTTATTGGGTAAAAACCATAATTATACCTCCAGAATAAGTCTATACTGCAATTTTGTTATGTAGACATGTATTAGTATCTGCTCACAGAATAAGTTATCAGCTAGAAATTGAATGCTGCATAGTCTGTTTTTCACAGGCCCCCATGAAGACGCTTCTCTTTTGTGTATACCTTAACATTATGTAAGTAATATTTGCTGAAAGAGTCCATGAGCACCCTTAGGAATTGTTTATTGCACCTTACACAGGCATGAAAGAACAGATGACTGTGTAGGTAGCAGAAGGAAGCAAAACAGCTTTCAGATAATAGTAACTCACGGCATTGGTAATAGTGTGACTCTTGTTCCCAGTAAGAGTGGGAGTTTGGCATTTTATTTGGACTTCCATATAATTAATATGACATGGCAATTATACTCTGTGGTATTTCTTACTTTGCCAGTAGAAAGTGATGTTTTAGAGCAAGTGTGCGATGTCGGTGAGCTGCTTTGGTGCTCACAAGCAAACGCACACATTTTTCAATGTTACAACAGTGCATTATAGATCTTACTCTCCCTCGCAACAGTTATGGAGCAGAGTTTCTTTCCATGCTTTCAGATGGTTAACCAAAGAGGTCAGAGCAGGCTAGCTTTAGCTTGAAGCAAGTCGTCTCAGAGTTTCTTTTTCTTCTGCCAGATGCTGCATATACAGCCTTCTCCTAATGACCATGCAAGAGTCTAAGGAGAGACAGCAGCAACAGCACCTGGCTGCCAGATTTCTCCTGTTTTAACCCTGCTGGTTTTCCTGAGCAATCAGGGCTCAGCTACCTGTTTCAGGAGAGAAGCTTCCTACGTAAGGCCATCTGCGGTGCTGCTTGCCTCAACGTTTACACCCCTCCTCAGGGTGCTCAGAGCTTCCACTGGCTCTAGCCCATTCAGCCCAGTCAGTCGCTCTCCTTAAGGCTGGAGTGTCAACCTTAAAGAGATTTTTTGGGGGTGAGGGGGATTAGGGACAGGCTGGTAAGGAAGTCATTGGCTGGTTTTGAGGGCATCTGGTGGGTAGTCCCCAAAGAAAATGCTACTGCTGTTGCTGCTGCAGCATCCTTTTTCCCCTCTTGCAAGGAGCTGGAGGCAGCTTCTATGAGCCTCGTCTCACTATGCTATCTCCACAGCAACCCTGTGAGGTGAATTAGGCTAAGAGTCAGTAACTGGTCCAGAGGCATCCAAGGCAGAGTGGTAGCTAAAATCCACATCTTCTGAGTCCAACATTTGAGCCACAATAGCTCTCTCATTGGGGAAGAAAGAGGGGAAGCTTGTTTGTGGGAAGGGCCTGCACTGGAGATAATAAAGCAGGTAGGCAATATAGGTGCAGAATGTTTCCTTTCAGTTTCAAAATATTTTTTCTTACTCCCTTCTCCTAAACCAGTCCGCATAGCGAAGCAACGTTGCCTTTCCTAATGCAGGTGCCAAAGAAGCCTGAGTCTGATTTGTGTCAGAGGCGCTTCTTTCACTCCAGCTGAGGAAGATTGGACTGCTGTAATCTGAGAATGGCTGGGCACAGGACTACTTCTGTGTGGTGACACAGAGAATCTAGCTTCCATTAACAACCCCAAAGAAAGAGACAATACTTTCTTTGTTCCTTTCTTTCCACAATCTGTCTTTCTTCCCTAGGAATGGAACAAGGCTAGGAAAGTATGATACTATTTAGGACACTCTATAAATATAATGCAAATCCTTTAGATTGCCATCCTATCAGAACCTCTCATTTTTGTCAATAATACCAAAGCATGAAACTATTTTCAATTTCTTTTTGCGGGATTACATCAAAAGAACAGCTGTCCTCCAGAATAGTGCCAATGGTCTCCTTCCTGTTAACATGATGCACACATACCATGCAAGCAGATCGGAATCTGTTTCCTTATGGGCAACACTGAAATGTGGGGAAAGAAATTGGAGAAGAAAGACTTTCTTTGCTTACATTCATTTTTAAAGCTACTTGGTTTCCTTAGCAACAGCCTATTTGCCAGTATCAAAACTTCAGGGAAATCCTGCATGAATAGTGATTTTTACAACTTACCCACTGAGGAAAGAAAACCATGGTAAAGAGAAACCTACTTCATTAAGTGGAAAAAATCAGAGTGAGGCAAATGAACAATAATTAAAAATTATTTCCTTACAAATATGGAGTTGTTTTAATTTTAAAACTGCATGGTGTATAACTGAACTCCTGCAGATTGGGTTAGGCTGGGAATTGGTCTCTCCCTTGCTGTGAAAATAATTCAGAATAACTTTCATGTCCTCAAGAAAGGCTTGGGGTCTATTTCCATATTGTTTGATGTGCTGTTTAAATTTGGATAAGAGAAAGTGTTGCTTAATCAAAGCTACTGTAAAATATAAGCTGAAGAACAAATTCCCAGGAACTGATGAATACTTCTTAAGTAGTCACTGCTGTCAAAGATATCTAATTTAAAGACTTCTACTTTATTAATGGTTCATTCACAATTAAATTGCTTAAGAAGCTTTATTAGATTACAGGGTTGGCCTGGATTCTTTGGTCTGTCTCCAGTGAATGCAGTTATTTATCTTTTATATTAAAGCATTTGCTGTAACACATGCTAAATTTAAGGTTACTACAATCCCCTGTTCTCTCTTCTAAAAGACTCTAAAGTCACAAACTCTTTACGTGTTGTATATGTATTGTATGACCTTCAAAAGGCTGCATCTACAGAAAGCAACTGATGCCAATAAAAGAGAAGAAAATAACATCTGTTGGCATGCAGTAGGTGTCATGACGAAGGCCCAATTCTTAGAGTACAGCTGCCCCATGAAAGTTTGGCCTGATGGGGTCTTTCTTTAAAGGACCATAATACCTGAAAGCTTATTACCTCAAGGGTTGCTCTGCGCACAGCCATAGCATTCTTATGCTTTCTCGTTTTAAGATCACACCTGTGTATGCGCGCACACACAAACACACACCCATATTGGCATACATTTAAGATGTAGTCTGCTCTGAATTTGTTTCTTCATCGGGAGTTACTGTTTCATCTGAGACTAAAATAAAAACCCTGAGATAATTGTAAGGGGAACAGCAGGAAAGACTTAAAGCAACTTGTCTGTTGCTTTTCCATTATCAAGAATTGTGTAAATTTTCCTGTATAAATTATAGGTTTTTGCTCATGTCAAGGTATTTAGATTGTAAACTGGCATGTTATCAGTCCAGGCCAAGCCTATTCCTCCCATTTGTTTAACTCATTATGAATAACCTTATTGTTAGCTGTCAACTTTCGTTTTTGCCTTCCAGTCTCTCAGGTCTCTTTCCTTACCACTTAACTTATGAATGAGGCTTTTGTCCAACCCATTAAGCTGATTACTGATTAATGGCTCAGGTCAGCTAAGGAAATGTGTCTATATGGTGGCCAGTGCTAGGAAATAGAAATTCTCCTGTAATATTCTGAATGACATCTACCATGTTACATAGACAAGACATTTGTGCCAGTTGAAAGAAGAAAAAGGAAGAGCAAACAGAAGGTGATCCAAGGGTGGGGTGCGAGATCTGAAACCCTCTTCTGTTGTATCCCTCATAGAGGGATTGGTGTGGTGCAGTATATTAGCTGCCAGTTAAGAGTATATATGCTGATTGCAAATATTACAAAAGAAGACGCCAAACCTGGTAAACACTGTCCTTGGGATGTCTCATCACTTGGGGTGCGGGGGGGGGGGGGGCAGGCTTCTGCATGTGTATGCAATGGGGGGACTGCCCTGTAATGTCTGTAGGTTGTGCCGCCTTTTCAGCTAAAGTATTGGGCAGACCCAGCATCCTTTAACACCAGCAGAAAGACTTCTGCATCCTCTCCTCCTCCCACAGCTTTCATACAGTCTCCAAATCTCCTTTAGAAGCTTCTCTAATTTCCTTATTTTTCCTCCAGGAAAAGTTGTTTCCAGAAACTTTTTGGTAGCAATAGTAAAATTTTGGAAAGGAAGCCTGCTCTTTCATACTGTGTTTTTTTCCCTATTTGATTTCACACTCTTGATCTTTATGAGTAAGAATAAAAACTGGGACAGTGTGTAAAATGCTAACAGTCCCTTTGGTATGGAGGGCGCTGCCTTTCTTTTGCACACTAACAGCCTCTTCCAGCAGTCTGTACCAGTTTCAGTGCCCTCCTTCCTTTGCTACAGGAATGCTGGCAAAAGCATTTCAGCGTCCACGTTTCCTTTCTTCTCAATCTGCCTTTGCTGCAAAGAATCTTACCCACAATTGTGAAAGAGGCACTGCAGACGAATGAATATTGGCAGCGTTGGATGCCGATTCTAAGTTCCCTGGCCTGTTACCAAGCAAGGCAGCAGCAGCTTCCTGGCAGTGAATCAACGCATCAGACATGAATGCATGTTCAGCAGGCGCATGGATATACATGGCCTTCCACTATGCTGGCGCACATGTAATAGTCCTTCCCTTCCCACCCCTTGCAGTCTTCCCTGGGGCAGCAGTCAAAAGTAATTTATAGCTTAAGCAAGACTTATGCTATACTGCACCTTGCTGAGCGAAGCACAGTATTTCCCTTAGAAGCTAAGCTATTCATCTGGCTGAATGGGCCCGTATCAAAAGCATGATGGATGTAAAGTAAGAGATGCCACTGGGCAAAACAGTTAGAATTTAAGAGGTGACAAGGGAAAACAGAGCTTGATCTTTTAGAATAAAGAAGGAAAAAAATACTGGAAATTGCTCAAGATTCCTCCACTGGTATATTCTTCCCAGTGTCTGGAGCTCTGTCCCTCCCCATCATATATTTATATATACTATCTGGACTCGCATATCATTTGTAGGGATCTCAGTCCTGCAATTATTAAAATATAACCTGTACAGACTAAACACCCTTTATGTGTGAAAATTGCTCATGCCACTTTCATTCAATGCAACATTTTCAGATCGGCTGCTATTGAAAGGAGTAAGTTACGTTTCTTTTAGTTACTTTGGGGGTCCTGATTCTCTCACAACCTGCCATGGATTTATAGTCTGAAGTCCATTTTTGGCTTGATCTTTGTTTTTCCTGGCCATCTTTGAAAAAAAAGTTGCACTGAATCAGAAATTCATACAATCTTTTATCCGCTCATTGTAGTTACAAGTGTATTACCGCCTTTGGCGGTGAAGGATCTGTGATTATCTCATCCTAATCAATTAATTTGGCAACTTGCCCAGCCCGTAAGCAGCCAGCAATCTGTTCATGTGTCCATCAATAAGAACAATCAAGTTCCCAGTTATTTGTTTTTTGGCGCCAGGCTAAGACCTTTTTATTTAAAACTTATTTTAATTGTTAATTTATTATGTAGGTTTTAAAAAAACAAAAAAAATTTAAGCCGAGATGCACTGGGTTTTAATATTTTTATTGTATAATTTTTATATGCTTTTGTTTGTTTTTGTTGTGAGCCGCCCTGAGGCTTTGTTGCGATGGGGGCGGCATAGAAATGTTTTAAATAAATAAATAAGAGACAGGGCTTTTTACATTGTGGCCCCACAGCTATAGAATACACTTCCAATTAGGGTTCAACAGGTCACCTCATTATGTACTTTTAGGACTGTTTTTAATGGTCCCTTTGTTTTGTTTGGCTCTATTATAAGGAGAGTTTTTACTGGGCATCTATTGGTTGTTTGAGCTGTATTTGTTTGCTGGTTTTAGTTTTTCTCCTGAGTGGAATTTTAAACTGTCTGCTTTTGCATTGCATTTTAATTAATATTTTATCGTGTTGAAGTTTTGTTGCTATTTTGCACTTTTAGAAGCTTTGCTAGAATATTTTTACCCTCAAAGGTAGAATATTAAATCTTTTAACATAATAATATTCGCATTCTGTGGGCTAATAAAACAGAACAAAAAAATGAAAGTAGGCTGATGGACAAATGAGCCTTTTTTATGAAAAGAAACAGCACAGCAGCTGTCTTGAAACCAAGGGGAATTTCAGACTTGGTTTGTGCTATGTTAGGGCATAGAAGTTCAGCTGCTCAAAGAGAAATATCTATGGACTAAGGCATGCCCTTTTTATGCACTTACACAGGTCTTGGTGTCCAGTCCATAATAAGTAGAAAGATCAATGCCTCTTGTGCTGTAAAAGGTCACTATGCGCTCCTACAAATCTTGGTAACTCTTTAAGATTTATAATCTCAGACTGGTGTATTGAGCACAAATTATTCAGAAATAATTGCTTGACACATCTGTAGAAGAGAGATTGTGTTATGATGTACCAGTCCTAAACCCACTTACTAGGGAGTTAGTCCCATAGAACAGAGTGCTACTTAATTCTGAGTAAACATACATAAAGCCTTGCTAAAAGCAATGTAAGTAATTTGAGGATGAGAGCAATGTGTAAACACAACCAGATGTCATTGTTTTAATGTGATTGAAATTTCTTAGAAGAATTTGGAGTGAGTTTGTACAGAATTCATACATTAGTTCACTTATTAACAAAATCCCTCTTTTGCATCACTCTTACCTTGTATACCTGAATGGCAAATTATATATTGAAGCTAATGTCTTCTTTATAATTAGGTACATGGAAGGAATTTGCTGTCAATTGATTATGACCGAAACATTCGTACAGAGAAAATATATGATGATCACCGGAAGTTTACACTCCGTATTATTTATGATCAGCTGGGGCGCCCTTTTCTCTGGCTACCCAGCAGTGGGCTTGCTGCTGTGAACGTCTCTTATTTCTCCAACGGACGGCTGGCTGGACTTCAGCGTGGTGCCATGAGTGAAAGAACAGATATTGACAAGCAAGGGAGGATTGTTTCTCGCATGTTTGCAGATGGAAAAGTATGGAGCTACACATATTTAGAAAAGGTAGGTAAATTTTGCTATGAGCTACATTTGAGTACAGAGACTGTGGGTGGCGCAGTGGGTCAAACTGCTGAGCTGCTGGGCGGGTTGATCGAAAGGTCAACAGTTCAAATCCACACTACGGGGTACGCTCCCATGCTCTGTCCCAGCTCCTGCCAACCTTGCAGTTCAAAAGCATGCAAATGCAAGTAGATAAAAAGGTACCACTTCGGTGGGCAGGTAACAGCATTCCGTGCACCTTGGTGTTCAGCCATGCCGGCCACATGACCACGGAAACTGTCTGCGGACAAACGCTGGCTCCCTCGGCTAGGAAATGGAGATGAGCACTGACCCCTACAGTCAGACATGTCTGGACTTTAATGTCATGGGGAAACCTCTACCTTTTACATATGAGTACACATGCAACTTTATAAAGCAAGCATTGACAGTCCAGTAGTCATAAATATGTGCAAACTACATGGATGCTTAATGTCTAACAACATAACTCTATGCATATTTAGATAAAGGCAGGACGTGCTTTAACTAGTGGTAGTTACCTTCTACTAAATATGCTGAGGATGATAAAATAAACTAACAAACCAAAAGTGCTTGTTCACCATTCAAGCCTGCCATAAAAGAGAATATTCCATTGAATGATACTAGTAACGCTGAAATATTTTAAGTGCAAAAATGCTTATCCCTTACCTTGGAACCCAGCCCCATTAACTCTAGGCAAAAATAGATTAGGAGAGCAATCCTGTGAAGAGCCTGTATGGCAGCACATTCTGATCTTGCATTTTCTGTTCTATCTAAAACCCTGCTGGTCTCTTGCTTGTAAGAGCCGAGGAACGGTAGAGGCAAGCTGCCTGTATTTCTTCTTTGCATCCACAGATAATCCCCGTGCCCAGCACTGCATCTCCCACTCTGTGAGGCAAGCGTTGCAAGCTTGTAGAGCGGGGCATTGCAAAACTTCCACAGTGGCTGGGAGTAGCCAAAAGGAGGACTGTGGTGTCAGGAAAGATCTTCTGAGGCCAGAGCTGTGACTATGATGTTAGAAGGGTTTTCTGAAACAGTCCTGGGAAGTGACGGTTACAGCACAACTTTGTTTTTAAAGCATACAGGATACCAGGGTTAAGAATTATGGTCTGCCACAGTCTGCCTCTATACCACCACACAGTGAGCATATCTAACCAACACACTTTGCTAAGCACTGTTAACAAAATGCATCATCTTTTCATAGGACAAGGTTCTATATGCATATATAGGTTCTGTGTAGCTGCTAAATCTTTGCCATAAAGCAACTTATGAACTCATTTTATGATAAGAAAATAGTAAATTAAAGGCTCCCTTTTTCTAGACTGACAATAGCACTTAGCTCAACTCTGAGCTAAGCCTTATTTATGAAATAAAGTTCCTTCTTATGCCATGTTTAACTTTTAAGTGGGAACAGGGAGATGGGACACTGGAAGCAGAGTGAGCATGGTGAGGGGAGGGCAGGCCAGACCGGCTGTGCTGTGTGCTTGCCCTCCTTGCACCCACAGGCTTGATGGGTGCCTTCTCAGCATGCCCTCAAGTCCTTGGTGCTGTTTTTAAACGCCATAATGGTGCAAAGGCAGACCTCTCTCATTCATTATCTGCTTATGGATGAGGTAATCAGTCTGGCATATAAATCCAAGATCTTGAACCAGGAGAAGAAAATCGCTCCCAGTTGTGCCCAGCAGAGTGCTTGTTTGGCATCAGGGTAGACCTGAGTAATGGGGAGCGGGGTTGCTGTGGCCTGTAAGGATTCAGTATATCTCTGCAGTCTCCCTGTTCATCTCACCATTGATCTAGAGCGTTTGCTCCTTGTGTTGGGCCAGAAGGACAAATTAGGGATTGTGCTGGTATAGGACCCACCCCACTGCTCAACAGGAACGGAGGTCCCTGGGGAATTGGTTTGGAGGGATGTCAGCATTCATGTCTGGGGCAGGTCAGCGTTTCAGGGTCTTCTGTTCCAACATGTTATCAATCTAGCACACAGAGTGGGACATACTCTAGGCCGGGTTTTTTTCAGCCAAGCACATGGACCATGATCTGAACGTGGGGGACTTTGATTCAGTCCCTTTGTTACCATCTGCTGAAGTTTAGACTGGCAATGGCTTTGCCCACTGCAAGGGTGGGGAGCCTATCAAGATGGTCTGTTCTCAGAGGTTAATGAAGCCAGATGGTTGCCGGCCGGCTCTAGGGAACTGTTCAGCCGGTGTTCCTGTCAAAACCCTGATCAGTCTCTGGAATGCACTGATCACCTGGGCAGTTTACAAGTTTCAAGTTTTCAACTTTATTTGGTTTAGTAGCCCATGGGGCATATACCATAATTTAAGAATTTAAAAAAACAAGGACGCGGTCCTTCTCAGTTGCCCCCCACCCCCACATACACATTTATAAAATGATCTGCCAACTGAGGCCCACCTAGCGCCAACAGTGTCCTCTTTTCAGTGTCAGGTTAAAACTGCCTTTTGCTCTCCAGCATCCAGTGGCATATGATGAAATATTTCAGCTGTTTTAACATGTCTAGTTTTTATTTTAATTGTTTTAGACATTTAAACGGTTTTGAATTCTGTATACTGGAATTATATTGCATTTTAATACATTGTTGGCTATTGGGCAGTATAAATATGATTCTACCTACTACTACTGTTGTTGTAAACGGCCCAGAGAACTTCCACTAAGGAGCAGTATAGCAGTGAAATAACAACAACAACATGATAGCCTGTGCCATTGCTCTACCCTGTCCATATATTTAACTTTTGAGTACAAATTACAACATTATGGTAGGGTATATTATTTTAAATATAATAGGAGAAATATACAGATTTTCACAATATTTATAATATTTATTTTATATCTAAGAATTGATTTGCTTTACTAATTATTTAGCATGGATGCAACCAATGTGGTAACAACACCAGGGGTAGTTTCATGCAAATATTATTATTGTATTTCTGTGCTGCCCAGTAGCTTGAGATCTCAGGGTGGTTTACAACACATAAAAATGAAAGCAACATTAAAAACTCAAAGTAGGTTTTCCTTATTTATGTATTTTTCTGGTTGGTAAAAAAAAACTTCATGTAATCCTATATGGTTTTTAAAGTAACATAACCCTAATATCACCTCTGTCTTTTCCACACTTTTTAAATAATTTTAATAATCTTTTAAATAATCTAGAATTATGCTAAGAAGCTCCACTGAAATCTTATAATCCATTATCAGCTCAATGTAAATAGAACTAGATTCCAGTAAGATTTAACTAACACAATACCTAAAAAGTGCACATAATCTGGTAATATTTTGGCACATTCTTGTCCATACAAAACAATTTATATTTTTTTATTTGTGTTTTTCTATAGTCCATGGTTCTACTACTTCAGAGTCAGCGGCAGTACATCTTTGAATATGACTCTTCAGACCGTCTGCATGCTGTCACTATGCCAAGCATAGCACGGCACAGTATGTCCACTCACACATCTATCGGCTATATTCGAAATATTTATAATCCTCCTGAGAGCAATGCCTCAGTGATTTTTGATTACAGTGATGATGGGAGGATTTTGAAAACATCTTTTTTAGGAACTGGTCGACAAGTTTTCTACAAATATGGGAAATTATCCAAGTTGTCGGAGATCGTGTATGATAGCACAGCAGTGACTTTTGGATATGATGAAACCACAGGAGTTCTCAAGATGGTTAACCTACAGAGCGGTGGCTTTTCTTGTACCATCCGCTATCGTAAAATTGGCCCTCTGGTTGACAAACAGATTTACAGATTCTCTGAGGAAGGTATGGTCAATGCAAGATTTGATTATACCTATCATGATAATAGTTTTCGAATTGCTAGTATCAAGCCTATAATAAGTGAGATACCTCTTCCAGTTGACCTTTATCGTTATGATGAAATCTCAGGCAAAGTAGAGCACTTTGGCAAATTTGGGGTAATCTATTATGATATAAATCAAATAATCACCACAGCTGTGATGACCCTGAGCAAACACTTTGATACACATGGACGCATTAAAGAAGTTCAGTATGAAATGTTCCGATCACTCATGTATTGGATGACGGTGCAATATGACAGCATGGGAAGGGTAACTAAGAGAGAATTGAAACTTGGGCCTTATGCTAATACAACTAAATATACCTACGATTATGATGGAGATGGGCAGCTCCAGAGTGTAGCTGTCAATGATAGACCAAACTGGCGTTATAGTTATGATCTAAATGGCAATTTGCATCTGTTGAACCCTGGAAACAGTGTCCGCTTGATGCCACTGCGCTATGATCTCAGAGATAGGATTACACGCTTGGGTGATATGCAGTATAAAATTGACGATGATGGTTTTCTATGTCAAAGAGGCTCTGACATATTTGAGTACAATTCCAAAGGCCTCTTAACAAGAGCTTACAATAAAGCAAATGGATGGAGTATTCAGTACCGTTATGATGGAGTAGGAAGACGGGCATCTTACAAGACTAACTTGGGACACCACCTTCAGTACTTTTATGCTGATCTTCACAACCCAACCAGAGTAACACATGTGTATAATCATTCAAATTCAGAAATTACCTCTCTTTACTATGATCTGCAAGGTCATCTTTTTGCTATGGAAAGCAGCAGTGGAGAAGAATACTATGTTGCTTCAGATAACACAGGTACACCGCTGGCAGTGTTCAGTATCAATGGCTTAATGATCAAGCAACTGCAGTACACAGCATATGGGGAGATTTATCATGATTCTAACCCTGACTTCCAAATAGTCATTGGATTTCATGGAGGACTGTACGATCCCTTAACAAAACTGGTTCATTTTACTCAAAGAGATTATGATGTTTTGGCTGGACGCTGGACCTCCCCGGACTATACTATGTGGAAAAACATTGGTAAGGAACCTGCCCCATTCAACTTGTATATGTTCAAGAGCAACAATCCACTCAGCAATGAACTGGATTTAAAGAACTATGTGACAGGTGAGAAATAATTCATGGTCTAGAAATCTAAGGTATCTTGTGGAAGGATGTTACAGATGGGATTTTGCAGTTGGACAAATCATTTAGTATCAAGTAAGAGTTCAATATCCTTCTACTTGAAAAAACTGGGAAACTCGTCTTCAGTGCAACTGAAACTATGCAACTTACTTAGCAAGTTTCCATGAACTTTCCATGAAATTGCATCTCCAGCTCTGTTTTTAAAAATGGTGATGCAATCCTGTACCTATTTCTGTGGGCATAAAGGGCATTGAAATCATTTCCTTAAGCCCATGTGATTGGATTCAAGCTTGTTGGTAGCTTGCTTACATGACAGCTGTGCACCAAGTTTGCCCCATGCGGTAGCTTCTAAGTGACTGCTCAAATAGGCAGAACCTCCGAGCTTCATGCCTGTGAAGTAAACTTTCCAACTTAAAATACTGAAGGCTTTGGGTCAAAGGCTTCATGTTCAGCACCCAGTAAGACTGTGTGCTAATACCACCCTATAAGTAGCTCTCACATTGATTTACAGATGAAGTGCTATAATTTCCTCAGCTGAACAGACCAAAACTCTGTTTAATTTCATTTTCTTGTGAGAAGTCACCCTAATGAACTAGAGGTAAAGTTAAGAACTGAACCAGGCTCCTGACACTGTCCAGGAAGTAAAATTTATATCCTAACACTTGAAGGGCTGTAGAATCAATCCCAGTTTAAACTACAGTTTAAACCTAGTTCAGCAAAAATGAGAAACTTTAATGTTAAAACCACTTTTAGTGTTCTAAGTATTCAGAACTGTTAAGGCATACATTTGGATGCAGGAAGTATAAACAGTGTGTTTTAGGTTTGGCTCAAAGTCCTAACTTTAATTCCATTGGTACTAATTTGTTTCTTAGTAGGTTCACACAGTACTGAGCTGGTTTCTCTTTCTTAAAAGAAAGGCAATTAAGATCTATTCAAAAGATACTCTTTCAGAACAGTGTTCCATAATTAAAGTTACAGCATTTTTACCCATTCACCCCCCAGTGTAGCAACTATAATTTGAAAGGAGGTTAAAACTTCAAGGAACAGTAAATTATCTTTCAAGATAGTTGAAGCATACATTAGTACATTTGGGGGTGGAGGGTGTTCATTGAATATGTATTGTATCTTAGCATATTCCTTGGTGAATGGAATGAAGAGAGAAAGAACTGATTCATAGCCTAAAACTGTTTAGTCACACTGCATCCTTAGAAGGAGAGGGACAGGGAGGCTGAGACATTTTGAATATGGAAGTGGCTGGAATGGGAACAGGGAAAAGGAGTCCCTCCATGCCCAGCCCTATGTTTAAGAGCCAAACTTCCCCAAACTGCTTTTGGTGAAGAAGAATCGGCTTGGTTTGATTCCTCTGGACATGGCTTATTTACAAACTGTAGCTGAACTATGTTTGACTGAAGCTGTATTAATATTCTCACATACAAATACACATTCGTACAGTACATTGATTAAATCACTGGTGGCTTGGCTTCTCAACACAGTTTTCTCAATTAATAGTTTGCTCAGCTTTCCATAAATCTCAGCTTCCTTCTTTTTGTCTGGGACCTTCTACGCACTTTTCACAGCTAGCGGGGAGGGCTGACCCCTTTTTGCGGAGGGAAAGAATGAACGTTGAAGCAGGCACTGGCATTCCCTTCCTCTGCCCCCCCCCCCCCGCCTTCCCCCGCCCCCAATTTTATTCCATATTGAAGATAGCAGAAGTCAAACCTTTGGAAGCAGTTGTCTGTTCTAAGTGTCACAGTGCCATGTCAAGATTAGTCCACAAAACACTAAGTGCAAGAGCACAAGATTAGGTAAGTATTATAGAGCCTTTGTACACTGAAAATTGCTGTGGGAATGTAGCAGTAGTAACAACACAGCTGGCTTTCCACAAAGCACGTCTTAGGAAGTTTAGAGAAGAGTTAGTTCCTGTGCTTGCTATGAACGAGCAGAGTCCTCCCTGGCAGTGCCTTCTGTCTTAATAAGAATGTCACAGCTCCTGTCCTTCATACTTCTGGGGCACTTTTATTATGCAAACTGTCAAGAAAAAAATCTGTCCTGGCTTATAATTAGGAGTTAATATTCAATGTTCCTGATGTTGACTGTATACCTCCAGGTCTCATGCATGCATTTATTTTTAATTCTCAGATGTGAAGAGCTGGTTAGTGATGTTTGGCTTTCAGCTCAGCAACATAATACCTGGTTTCCCAAGAGCAAAAATGTACTTTGTGCCACCTCCTTATGAACTGTCAGAGTCTCAGGCATGTGAAAATGGACAGGTAAGCAGAAGTAGTCTCTAGCAATAATACATTTAGCATTATTTTGTCAATTTAACAATGACAAGCATAGTTGACAAGATAAAACTAGTGAAACCTGAAGAAAACTGAATTGGATGGATCTCATACTGTGTGCCTTTCTTTGCTGTCAATGCAGTCATTACCAGCATTGCATTATATACGCTTAAATACAATTTAGCCATGAAAAACAAAACCCCCCAAATAAATCGATCATACATTTGTCTTGTAATAGCTTTCAACAAAGTACCTTTTCTGTAGGTAATATAAATTGTGATGTGTAGTTATTCTGGAATTAATAAAGCATCATGCTTGAAATCAAGGTGCATGCTTGAAAGGAAATGCATTCAAATTCTCCGGAAAATATGAAGGACTCCAATTTCTGGGAACTGTTGCCACCTTTGCTTTTTAATTTACTTGAACAAAGGGCATGAAATAGCCATATCTCAAAAATTACCCAGAAGTATTTGTAAAAATTCAGCTGCAGTTTCTTGAGCATTAGTTGAACTATTTCTGGTGCAAAAACAAAGATAATTCAAAGTGTTCAAAGATAGGCTGGACATGCACATGGTGGGCATGTCGTGAGTAGAGCCAGCTAGAGCCAGGGGTCAGACTAGATGGCCCAGGAGACCCCTTCTGACTCTCTCTGTTTCTATGTTTCCATAATTTCAGATAAAATCAGAAGGAGCTTTCCTTTTGGATTAATGTAGAAAGGTTACATTTTGAATAGAAGGAATATTTTTGGACTGATTTCTTTCCATTAATATAGTAATAAATCTTTTTAAGTTACTGTGTTTCACTTACTAATGTGATGAGAATTGTCAAAATGGATATGATATCATGTTTTAGCAGCAAACACACTTCAAATACTGTACCTTGAATCATGGGCACAATTTCATTTGAGTTACTATGACTGCATTTTGACTCAGGAGATCTGGATTCTAGTCCCTGCTTAGCCATGGAGCCAACTGGGTGACTTTGAGCCAATCACAGACTCTCAAACAACCACCTCACAGGGTGGTTGTTGTGGAGATAAGTTTGAGAGCAGCAGGAGGTAAATGATGTAAGCCACTGTGAGTTCACTCTAAGAAAAAAAGGGGGGGATAAGGATGGATGGATGGATGGTTTGGTGACCATTGTTTGCCCTGCCAAATCATACGGGAACTACTATCTTGTTCCAGCTTTCTCCAGCTTGGTAACCTCTAGATGGACTAAAACTGCCATTGTCCCTACTGGCATTGCCAATGACGGTGTTGGCAAAGGGATGCTGGAAGGCATAGTCCTTGAGAGCACCAGGTTGGAAAAAGCTGTTCTTGGCAGCCGAAAGCCACAGCAGTGGTCAAGACTGATCCAGGTAACTACACCCCTGTTACTAGATGTAGACAGTCTCCTTTTGCAGGCAGCTGCTGTTTGGAGATGTCAGAAACTATAGCTTTTAGTCGTTCAAAGAAAGTAAGTATAAAAAGGACTGTCGCCTAGAGAGCTCACATCGGTGTGTACTGAGGATTGTTCATGTGCAACAGGACAATTTGATTAACAAGAAGGTTTGCTGTGGCTTTGGAACACTCCGAAGACTGTATTACCTGGCACTACTTCTGAGTAAACATTTCTAGGATTATATAAAAGGAGGCTTATCTGTCAGACTGGATAGAAAATCAGAAGTTCAGCTGTGCACATGAGGCCCCTTAGATTATAATCTGCACAAGCAGGAGAATTAATTCAGGTAAAATTCTGTATCCAATGTACCTGTACTAAGTTTCTAGCCCAACCTTTTTCCAACCTGGTATCCTGAAGTACAGATCCCATCATTCCTGACCACTTGTTACACTGGCTGAAACTAATGGGAATTGAAGTCTCAACCAGCTGGAAAGGATGAGGAATGGTGTTGCAGCCTATCTATACTAGCTCAAGAAAGGTGTTTTTTCAGGGGACCTGTGGTGCAAAGGCTTCCTTCTTACGGGGGAACACAAATTGAGGCCTCCTGAATCAGTCCAAAGGATATGAGGGCAACAGCCTTCTCCTCCAGGATTATGGACAAAATGTCATCTCCTCTCTCAGTGGCACTTTCTTGGTTCACCAAGCCGTGACCCATGCACCAAGCAGCATCGGCCACTCAGTATAGCGGCTCCCCATTTCTCACAATGTTCCAGAGCCATGCTAGATTGAAGACGTTAAGCAGGTGCTATATCCAGTTGCTTTGTGGTTTAGGCAACAGCAGTGGACCTTGCTAGCTGCCCAAGGGTACCAGATGCTGACACAGCCCTTTAGAAACATACTGACTCTGAACCCTGGATGTGTCATGGTGGCCCTATGCTCCATACATTGATCTTGCCCCTATCTAGGGCACAATCCAATGGGGGTTTCCATAGCCTTCCAAACTCAGAAGATCATGGACATCCTACGGAGAACAGAAGAAACATGGAGGCAAAGATCACCTCCCTGCTTCTCCAGGTGTATATAGCTTTCGCACCTGCTCACAAGGGAGTTCAGGTTCAGGCACTCCCAGGTTATACCATCCACTGACAGAGCCTTACTCCTCATCCTCCCCCAGCAGCCTTGGAGCGACCGCTGGCACAAAGAACGGCACCAGCTGCACAGGGCACACCAGATGCAGAATCCCAGCTTCAACCTTGCAGCATCTTCCCAAGGTTGCAGCTGGGTCCCTAAATTTGGGCATCCAGCCCAACACAGTTTATGGGTCACAGGTCTGGCACCCTCACCTAGTAGGAATCACCGTATCTTGTGACAGCAGTTGTATGTACTGTGGACTATTTCTTCTTGTCTGCTTCCTTGGGTAATGCCAGTTTTCAGTCTTATGAGAGGAAGAAAAGCTTCTCTCTGTTCATTTTTTCCACAGTGTGCAGAATTTTATATCACCTTTACCTGCTTCTTCCCAAATAGAAAACTCAAAGTCATCATATTTCTTTGTTGGATCATTGCTTCAATCCCCCAGGCACCCTGGTTGCCATTTTCTGCCCCTTCATCAGATGTACAGTTTACTTCAGATTCTAATGGGATTGTACCATCTATTTATATAAAAATATTACAGCATTTATTTTAAATACGTATATCCACCTAGCAAGGAAAAGTTATCCTAACACAGCTTAGCAAAGATAATTAAACCCATAAAGTAATTTTTAAAATAAAACTCATTACTTAAGCTAGAAGCTATAGCAGTTGAAAGTCAGAAGTACTTCTAACAGATTGCAGCTTGAAAGAACTAAGTTTTAAAGATCTGTTCTGGGAGTGTTCCAAGAATATGGACCTATTACTAAGGAGGCCTGTTTTTATCACCAACTGTCTGATGGATCTTGATGCTGGACCTGTAACTAGAACCTCAGAGGATTATTTTAATGCCTCAGCAAGTTCATAAAGGGTGCAAGCCATTCTTCCAGGGAACTGGTCCCATATAGTCTAGAGCTTTGGAGTTAACATTACTGCTTTAAACTGAGTCTGGAAATTAACAGAGCCCAGTGCAAATGGTACATGATTGGTGCCCCATGCTCTGAACAACCAGCCCCTAAAGCATCCTATTCCAGAATGCCCCTAGGAGCGGCATTCTGTACCAGTTGATGTTTCCAAACTGTCTTTCTATGCAACTGAAGCACAGGACATATTATAATCCTATTGCACGGGATCTTTATGCACTTGCTGAAATACTTGATTGCAGCATAAGTTTATTGGTATTGTAATTAAGTAATCACTTAGAGCAATTATTTGTGTGACTGGGGCTTTTAATGAGCATTAAAAATGCTTTCTAGTCTGTGTTACAAATAATGTCAGTTAACTTTTTTTCCTTTCATTTTCTTCTAGTTAATTACTGGAGTGCAACAAACAACAGAGAGGCACAACCAAGCATTCATGGCCCTTGAGGGACAAGTCATATCCAAAAGACTACATGCCAATATTAGAGAGAAAGCAGGCCACTGGTTTGCAACCACGACTCCCATTATTGGCAAGGGGATCATGTTTGCAGTGAAGGAGGGCAGAGTGACCACAGGAGTGTCAAGCATCACAACAGAAGACAGTCGAAAGGTTGCCTCGGTGCTTAACAATGCCTACTACCTGGAGAAGATGCACTACAGCATCGAAGGAAAGGACACCCACTATTTTGTCAAGATCGGCTCCTCCGATAGTGACCTTGTCACCCTGGCTATGACCAGTGGGCGTAAGGTCCTGGACAGTGGAGTCAATGTGACGGTGTCTCAGCCAACCCTCCTAATCAATGGAAGGACTCGAAGGTTTACAAATATTGAATTCCAATACTCCACCTTGCTTATTAACATACGTTATGGCCTGACTCCTGACACACTGGATGAAGAGAAGGCGAGAGTGCTGGACCAAGCTCGGCAGCGAGCCTTGGGGTCAGCCTGGGCCAAAGAGCAGCAGAAGGCGCGGGATGGCAAAGAGGGCAGCCGCCTGTGGACTGAAGGAGAGAAGCAGCAGCTTTTGAGCACAGGGAGGGTTCAAGGTTATGAGGGATACTATGTGCTCCCCGTAGAGCAGTACCCAGAGCTGGCAGACAGTAGCAGCAACATCCAATTCTTAAGACAGAATGAAATGGGAAAGAGGTAACAAATTAACCTGCTGTCATCCTTGCTTGGATGAATCAGTAGTTACAACTGTTATCTCCTCTCCTAAGGAGATGAAGACCAACGGGGCACTCGGCTGAGCTACTTTGGGATAATAAGTGGCAAGAAAGCTCACATTTTTTGAGTTCAATGCTGCTGTCCAAGTGATTAAAATCCACATCCTGAAGTGGACAAGAGCCAGACTGAAAACTTTAAACCATGCCAATTCCAAGGTACCCCATAAATATTACCCACTTGTTCTGGGTCTAAAGAAAAATAAATCAAAACACAAAAATGGAAAAGGAAGGCCTCATCTTATATTACCTCACTCCATTCACATGTGAGCAAACTTTCAAGAAATCCAAGAAGGCCACCCACCTCCACTAGACCAGCTGATGGGAAAAGATTCTTCAGGCTGCTTGTTTGATAAACATTCTAAAGGTTTTTTTCATTTAAAAGCAAAATACAGGTGCATTCAATACATGACTTCTGGGGTGATTTGTGTGTAGCAACGGGAAGAAATGAGGAGAACAGGCGCAGCAGAGCACTGGAAATAGTTACAGAAATATATTAAGGAATATAAACCTGCACTTGCACTCAGACCCTGCTTTTGTCTGGCCTAAAGTTAATTTATTCAAAGAGGGCAGAGTGAAAAGTTCAATTCAAAATGGTGGCTATAAATCACTGCTGATAAATTTCATACTCTGTTTGTCTTTGAAGATTCCATTGTGGACAGTATAACACAGTTACAGGGTGTAGTCTGTTTAGATTCAGTAGTTTGTTGGTATCAGTTCTAGTAGAGCTGTGGGCATTGTGTTAACACTATTGCAAATGGGCACCAATTCAGATCACCCTGTACATACATCAGCCAGAAGGCACAATCACTGTTTCAGATTTTAAAAAGAAAAATTATTAGTGTGTTTGTTTGGTCGAGAAACTGAGACAATCACATTATGGTCACCGAGAAAAAAAATAAATAAAAATATATAAAAACAAGTCTAATAAGAACTTTGGTACAGAACTTTTTTGTAATATACATGTATGAATTGTTCATTGAGTTTTTATATTAATTTTAATTTGCTGCTAAGCAAAGAATAGAGACAGGCAAAGATAATTTATGGCAAAGTGTTTAAATTGTTTATACATAAATAAAGTCTCTAAAACCCCTGTGAATTTAATGTCTTCTGTTTTAGAAATATGCTTAGGAAGTGTCTTTTGAACAGCAATACAAATTCTGTATAAGGAAATGACACTGTCATAACAATGTGGATTAAGGAGTTTGCTCACTCAATAAGACCCACAGGGGTATTTGCTGTAAGCATTGCCCTCACTACTGTTTTAAGATACAGAGCTGCCTGGTCCATTGCCAGTTCTGGTGCCGTGCTAGGATTTAGTGGAAAGAAGCTTTTAAATTGTTTTGAAGGTGAATTTCAAGACAACAAACCCATAAAAGCACAATCTGCATACCAAAAATACATCATTTACAGTAGGTACTGTATGCATACAGTAGGATTATATACTATATATGAAAATACAGCTATCAATGAAAGCAATTATGCTTAAGCTTCCGAAAAAAGGCAGATCATACAGCAAGACCCTGTGTGGCACATTAATTCATAGATAATAACCATAGCTTGCTTTAGGGATTTGAAGGATGCCAAACAACCCCTGCTGTCTGGGTTTGCACAGCACAGCAAATCAGCCAGCTTCAGGTGCCATGCAAAAATGGCAGCTGGCATAACACAACATGCCCTGTGAGTAAATCAAGCCATAGTGTGCTGGCATGACATGCAATAAGTTCATTGTTCCTCCAGAATATAAGTGCATCTGCCACAGCATTTCAGAATGGTGCTTCTGATTGACACAAATGTGTTGGTACCACCTGTAAAGGGAAGACAGTTTCTACTCCCTTGTAGTCTCTTTGTGAAAGCATCAAATAGAAGAAGACTGCAGCTGTCTTGAGTGCTCAATGGTATGCCCATTTAATACCAAATAAACACAAGCTAGTAGCACTGGAAGGTGTGTTCAAACAGCGAGGAATAAAGTGCTGCAGTTTAGTGAAGAAAATCTTACGAGTGACAGGGACAGTATGCGCCTTTCCTGCCCTCACGGCCCTCAACAATACTTGTGTGCATTCTATAGTGTTGTCTAATGACAGCCTGAAACTTGTGCATGCGAGGTAAATGAGTGGCAACAGTCTCTCCACCACGAGTTCAAACCAAGAGAGAACTCCTGTGCAGAAATAAAACTAGTTTCCTTCAGTAAGTATTTTAGGAGATGAGTCATGCTGAATCAGACCCAAATTCCATCTACTCTACCATTCTGTTCACACAGTGGCCAACCAGCTGCCAATGCAAAACCCATAATCAGGACATGAGTGCAATAGTGACCTTCCCAAGTTCTTCAGCATCTGATGAAGTTCCATATAGCCATTAGAATTAGGAACTACTGATAATCTTCTACATTAACATGCCCAATCCCCTTTAACGCCATCCAAATCAGTGGCCATTTTGTAGAAATTCCATAGTAACCATGCACTGTATGAGGAAGTATTTTTTAATCTGCTCCGAATGTCCCACCAATCAACTTCATAGGATGACCTCAGTGGGTTCTTTTATGAAAGATGGCGGAAAAGAATCTTCCTATCCACTTTCACCATAGCATGCATAACTCTCTGCTCTTACCCTTTCTCTAAGCTAAATAATTCCATCTTTTGTAACTTTTCCTCATAAGAGAGTTGTGCAGCACCTTGATCATTTGAGTTGCAATTTTTGCTATTTTTCCAGCTTCAAGAGCATAATACCAGGAAAAAAATGGATACACACCATTGTTTTCCTGCTCAGAGTTTGTGTTGCTTCATTCTCTCTCGTTTACATTCTGTCCATCATGCAACACTTCATGCATACAGAATTGACATGAGTAGAGCAAAATTACAGCGAAAAACATCCGTAAAGCAGAGGATGAAATATATATAGGACCTAACAGAGACCTGATGCTTACAGTATTTCTTTCATACACAGAACCAAGATAGGAATTAATGTCACAACTAGCAGCTACACCTTTTCATTTTTGCCCTAGAGGAGGCACAAGATACAATCTAGATTGGAAAAAGACCCTACACCTAATACTAGGCTTACAATTTAGATTGAGCTTTATTTATTGTAAAGTAAAAATAAAAAGTCATCATGGCCAGATACGGATTCAAAGTAATGTCTGTTCTGCCTGAGATACTAGGCTATTTGCATGTAACTACAACCCACCTTGGCAATAAGCCAAGTTGGTTATTGTGTGAACAACCTATGGTATACCTGACAGATGATTAGGCTCACTTTGGGTTCCTTGCCTCCTCCATGTGCCATCCAAGTATCCCAAGGGACCCCCACAGGAGGAGAAACTTCTTCACCCCCGCAGCCATGATTATGAACCCTTTTGCATTCATTGGTGCTTTTTGCCCTATTCATTTGTTGGCCCATTCTCCCTTCTTTTTCTCTCCAGAAATCATGAATCTCTTATTTAACTGTGACAGCCCCTTCAAAGTGCCCAAACAGTTTCAAGGGGATTTCACCAATTCATCACCCCTTCAATACAAAATAAAGCTTCCCAAATGCATGCAAATGTTTTTCGTTGAAAAAAATTACAGATTTGCATAAGTGCATACAATCCTAAAACATTGTCATGTCAAGGAAAATTCTAAGGAAAGCAGCTTTCAAAACATTCACCTTTAAAAGGAAGACAGAGTTTGCTTCCCCACCCTTGGAATATAATAACAGCATAAATCATTTGTAGGGATTAAAGTAAGATTAATGTTGTGACTCGTATATTTTTCAGAGTAGCAGGGGATAGTATAATTCTGTTTTCTTCCAGTTAAGTACATATGAGTATGGAAGTATTATGACATCCAAAGGATGAAATATATTCAAGCCCTACACTAACATGGGTTCTGTCCGAAAGACAGTGGACTTCTGGACTTTTCCCATGAACAGGTACAGAATTTATTTTGCATTTGGCCTTTATTTTGAAGAAGCTCTCCTAGCTTGGGGATAGAGACAGACTGCTTCTGAAAACTTGTGGCTCAGCTAGATTGGCTTACTCATGCTTTCTCTTCTCTGTCGTAATCAGCCAAACACACTCCCCACCATGTTCCCTCCTTGCCCAAGAAGAATTGGGAACATGCAATGCAGATCTTAAGCACTTCCACAGGATAAAATTAGACAAAACGACATTAAAACACAACTACGAATTTGTTCTGTTGCCACTGTAGCAAAGCATCTACTAGATCTTCCCTTACCTAACACAAAAAATGGTTTCCCAAAATACTTAGTACAACAGAGAATTTGGTAGATACATTTAATGCTAAGTTGTCTGGAGAAATAAAAAACATGACAACACTGATGGAGGTCATTTATCAAATCTTAAATTTGTATGAATAACTCACTTGTTCATCTTAGTGTTTCTCATTTAACACAGACTATAGGTGGTCCCTGGGTTACAAACAAGCTCTGCTCCTGAGAAAATGGCAATTTGTCTTTAAGCTGAATGTGTATATACGTCAGATTATGTATAGCCATCCCTCCACATTCACGGGGGTTCAGGGCCCAGGATCCCTGTGAAAGTGAAAAACCTCAAATATCTGTAACCCCCACCCAAACTCACCAGCACCACCTCTTTGCAGCAAGGAAATGCCAGAGAGGTTTCCCTCTCCAGATGGGAGAGCCAGAAGTCTTTCCTTGGAGGCCTCTCCCTCTCTCTCCTTTCACTTCCTTTATATGGGGATGATGATTTTTCTGCAGTGATTCTAAAAAAAAAAAAAGGCTTTATGGCAGTTCGTATGTACATGTTGTTCATAACTCAGACATTCGTAACTCAGGGACTGCCTGTATCCTCACACGGACTTATCTGACAGGTTGCAGATCAACCCACAGCCGTTTTCCAAGCTGTAAAACATACTCCCCCACCAAAAAAATAAAAAATCTGGTTGTACAGGTGGAATGTGATTTGTCCAACTCACCTGTAGCATAGTAAGCTAATCAAAATATAAACACATTGGTTATAGCACAGTAAAAGACGGAGAAAAAGTGTAAGGAAAACATACATTCCATTAAGATCAGAAGCGATTAAATGTTGACGATGAGCCTGAGGCTTAAATCTAAGCAAAGGAGGTATTTCCTGAATAAATATATACAATGCTGTAATGTGTTAAGCTTTTTATTTCAGAATATTTTAATTCATGAGCTGAAAGTTAGCCTGTGAAGTAACATGTATCATTCCCAGAAATGCCGA